CTGCAGCCCAGCTACTCGGCAGTGAAGATACAACTTGAAGGATGAGTTCAGCTTCAGGATTATTTGTGACTTTCCTGCCAGTCCTGTGAGCTTATCCTTACAGAACTTCTGACTTTGCAAAACTTTCCCTCCATTTGCAGCATGCAGACAGTGTTGACTTCTGGGAAGTGAACTGATGGCTTCTGGGTAACATAGTTCTTTAGACTGGCAAAACAGTGAAGGCTTAATGAAAGAAAACTACAAAATGGCAGCACTTTTTTGGGGGAGAAAATATTATGTACATGTACTGTACTTAAACCAAACCGCGGTAGAGCGAGTCCGCAAAAAACGAACTGCGAAGTAGTGAGGGACTACTGTATATATATTTTTGTAATAATGATAATAAAATGGAGCACAGTGTTTATTTAGTCTAATCTTTGTTCCAACAGGGATCCTCCTTGTTGGACCTCCAGGAACAGGAAAAACTCTGTTAGCCCGAGCTGTAGCCGGGGAGGCCGACGTACCTTTCTACTATGTCTCCGGATCAGAGTTTGACGAGATGTTTGTGGGTATTGGCGCCAGTCGAATCAGAAACCTTTTTAGTAAGTTTACAATTTTTTTAATATATATTTTTTAATTAAGGTGCATCAAACTAATCTCTTTTTTTGTGTGTGATTTCTAGAAGATGCAAAAGCCAGCGCTCCTTGCGTCATCTTCATTGATGAGTTGGACAGCGTGGGTGGGAAGAGGGTTGAGTCTGCTATGCATCCTTACTCCAGACAAACCATCAACCAGCTGCTGGCTGAAATGGACGGGTCCGTTTTAATTGTAATGATTGCAGCTTCTTCAGTGATGAAGATTTCAACCTAAAGTGACTCAACATTTATTGTTTTACAGATTCAAATCAAATGAAGGGGTCATTGTTATTGGCGCTACAAACTTTGCAGAAGCTTTGGACACGTATGTTCCCACTTTAGGAGAATTTTTCTTCACTTATAAATTGATTAGTTAATTTAAATAGAACAAGTTATTAAAGGTTGATTAAACGGTCTTAACACGATAACAGTTCAGAAATGTTGAAGGAAATTTCATCAGATAGCTTAGACAAAAATGTTTTGACTTTTACGTTCCTTTTTGTTTTTCCACTGAAATTATATGAACCATTTTCACACTACAGTACACTTGACTAGATTTCTTGTGCACATTTGTACGAGAAAATGTGATAAGCATGACGAGAAATCCAATCCTAATGGTGTACTAAGCTGTTATTCTGAGCTGGTAGTTTATTCAATCATCTTGTAGTTTCAAGTACAACATTCATTTTGTAATGGGTGAGTAAATGAAGCTTGAGGTGACTTTTGTGTTGCTGCTTCTTTTCAGTGCTCTGGTGAGACCTGGGAGGTTCGACATGCAGGTGACGGTCCCTCGCCCTGATGTGAAAGGCCGCAAAGAAATTCTCAACTTGTACCTCTCAAAGATCAAAGTGGACCCTGGTAGGTCTCCCTGGAGAATACTTGATATTTTAGTTTATTTGTAATCATCATGTCTGTTAAATTGCACTCTTACTCATGAGAAAACTAAGCTCATTCAATGAAACTAAGCGTCAAAGGATCCCTTTGTCAAGAAGACGTTTGTCTCTGATCACCTCTTCTTTTACAGCCATTGATGCAGCGGTTATTGCCCGAGGCACAGTGGGCTTCTCTGGAGCAGAGCTTGAGAACCTGGTGAACCAGGCAGCCCTGAAGGCAGCAGTGGATGGGAAAGAGATGGTTACACTGAAGGAGCTGGAATTTGCTAAGGACAAGATCCTCATGGGTGATTAAACACAGCTCTCTGATCAGCTCTGAAACTCTCATTACGTTTCACACGAGACAAAATTTGAGTCGGAAGGAATTTCAGAATGAACGGCTTTAATGTTTTTTTCTTTTTTTTTTTCCCTGCCAGGTCCTGAGAGGCGCAGTGTTGAGATAGACAAAAAGAACAAGACCATCACAGCATACCATGAGTCCGGCCATGCTATTGTTGCTTATTACACCAAAGGCGCAATGCCAATAAATAAGGCTACCATAATGCCCAGAGGGCCAACCCTCGGCCATGTTAGTTTTTGTTATAACTTCAGTAAGTTCTGTGTTTTGAACCACATGCTAAAACTAATCTGTATTCTTATGTTTGCTCTCAAGGTGTCCATGCTCCCAGAGAACGATAACTGGAGCGAGACACGAGCCCAGCTGCTGGCTCAGATGGATGTCAGCATGGGGGGCCGGGTCGCAGAGGAGCTCATCTTTGGAGACAACGACATTACCACAGGTACAAACTTCAGTGGAGCTCATTTAGGTGTATCAATAACTATTAGTGGTATAGTACAATTTATATCATAAGTACTTCATAAAATTAAGACAGTCATGGGAATAAGAACATCCACCTTTTCTATTTTTAGGTAATTGAAAGAGGGTATACACTCAACAGATTCTTCTGCATCATTTGTATTAAACCAAAATGAATAAAAAGTGGAAAAGCTGTGTGATAAAAAACTAAACCCACCCTTACTGCTTCCACACAGTTTAAAAAAGTAGCAGACGGGTGCTGTAAATAAATTTACTTGATTAACTGATCATCAGTGTGTCCACCACTATAAAAGCTGTTTTGTCACTTTGGTGCTCTGGAGCATGAAGTGTGTTAACACGATGCCAAGAAAACAGCAATGACATTAGAGAACCTATTGTTGGTGACCACCAATCTGAGAAGGAGTAAAGGTCATTTTCAAACAATTTAAAATCCATAAAAACGTCACGTAAGTAAGTACTATGTATTGTCATCATTGTATGTTCCCATACCATGGTGAAATTAGTTTTCTGCATTTAACCCATCAAACCTGGGATATACCCAGGTGGAGCAGTGGGCAGCTACTGTATTTTTTGGCCTATAAGTCACAGGTTTTTTTTTAGCATAATTTACATGCCTTGTGACTTATAGGCCGAAGCAACATATTTATGGATTTTTTTTCCCATATTTATAAACTATTTTTTGGCTGATATATGACTGTTTTCATTCATTCTGACTGGGGGAAAAAAAGAGCAGTACCACTTTCAGCCACTTGATGTCAGCAGAGTAGTAATATACATTTGGCATGCTGTTGTATCATGTAATAGGTAAACGTGGCTGTAACGACAAATTCTAAAAAGTTCAAGACAAAAACAACTGGACTATATTTATTATACTTTATTGTTTTGTTTTTTTTATACTTTTTTTAATTTACCATGTCCTGGATGACTGAGAATCTTCACCAGCTATTAATGACTCAATTGGCCTGCCATAGCCTCCCCACCTTCATTCTGCTCGCTGCTTGGAACCGTCAAAATAGCTACACCGCCCTGGCGAAATGCAGCTAATTTGACCATTAAAGTGCATTTATTAAACAAGCATTAGACTGATACACACTTAATATAATTTCGAGCAAACAAATAATTGTTTTTAAGTGTTAATCTTGTTAAATTTTTGTTCAAGTCCTCCTTTGCTTGGTCCCGCCACCATTTGGCAGCCAATCGTTTTTTGGCACATCGGCCCACATTTCCAGGTTAACAAACGCGACGCGTCAGCGGTGATGCATAATAGATGCGACATATACGGCGAAGCAACATATTTATGGATTTTTTTCACTTTATTAGACAAATATGGACTCATGCGACTTCTAGGGCGGAAAATACGGTATGTAAGCGCTTTGGGGAGCAGTTAGGGATTAGTTGTCTTGCTCAGAGACACCATGACACGGGCGTGGCAGGGAGTCGAACTGCGACTTTCTGGTCCCAAGTCAGCTGCCCTACCTCTACACCACCTCGACAGCTATTCACAAGTTTAAGACAGCTGCCAATATTAGGAGTGGACATCCCAGCAAATTCACCCTAATGTCAGACTGTGCAATGCTCAGATAAATGACAAGAAACTCAGAGCTCCATTTCAGACTCCACAGGCTTCCGTTTGTGTAGCTAAGTTTAGAGTGAAATGATTTTAAAGTCTGGTAAAGACCAGATTATTTTTTTTATTCTTGTTGTTTTTATTGTTAGATGTTAGACTTAAAAGAGGTAGGACTCTTTTTTTTTTTTTTTTTCCTGTGACCACCTTGTGTCTGATGATATTGTCTGTGTGTTATTTATTATACATCATTAATTTTAATCTCTACTTCTTGTGTGTGTTTGGTTTTAGGAGCCTCCAGCGACTTCGATGGTGCAACCCAAATAGCTAAAATGATGGTAACCAGATTTGGCATGAGTGACAAGGTAAGCATTCAGTTTGAATCAAATGTTTGAAAATTCCACAACAATAGAAAACATAACTTTTCTTTAAACGTTTGAAGACACATTTGACTCGGTGGTTTGGTGCTTTTGTATTGTAAACAACTGGAGAACCACATGAAATGTATTTATTTTTTATTATCATTTCTTATGAAATAGCAGGTGAAAGAATCGGCGTGAGCGTTTACAGAAATGGGAAGATGCATGCAAGATTTTGTCACTTTTTACTGCTCTGTTAGAAAAAATACAGAAGAGCTTGTCAACTAGTCTTATCTAGTCATTAAACTAGAAAATAATACATTTTTATTTCTCTGTTGGCGTAGTCGGATGATTAAAAAAAATTATCCGGAATAGGCTTAAACCAACATTATGTAGGTTTATCTTGTAGGTTTATCAAACTCTAGGTTGCAGTTATAACAATAAAAATGGTAACACATTGTTCTACTCTGTCAACTAAATATTGTTTTTTCATCACAATGTTTGTTCATACTCAACTAATGGAGATGATAAAACTTGGCAATAGAGTTAATGGATAAAGTGGCTGCACCTGAAACTATTCAACCCAAGAATGTGTCAAGTCTTTGCTCTTCTTGTGTCTCTTGCCCTTCAAGCACAATAATTAAAAAAAGAAAACTAGTAACACATCTAAGAGAAATAAACTTATTTTTGTTAAAGTTAAACTCTTATTTGCCTGCTACTCTTCCGTTTCTGTCATGGCTTTTCATTTGCATCTCCTGCCGTAGCTTTAGAAAGTCCCATACAAATCCATCCAAACGTGCGTCTCGAACCAGGATAGTGTGCCGTGAGTTTTGGTGACACTACATCGTTCAGCATACGTGAGATTAGTTTACTATGTGAAAATGTTCCACTTTAAAACAATATTTTGTGTTAACAAGTGAATAAAACAAGTCCCCTTTGACATTTTACACAGTTAAAACATCATCCATCCATCCATCCATCCATTATCTTTACCCGTTTATTCCATTTTGGGTCACGGGGGTCGCTGGTGCCCATGTCCAGCAATCACTGTGCGAGGGACGGGGTACACCCTGGACGGGTCGCAGGTCCATCACAGGGCCACATAGAGACAAACGAGACAAACAAACATTCACTCTCTCACTCACACCTAGGGACAATTTAGAGTTACCAATCAGCCTAACATGCATGTTTTTGGTCTGTGGGAGGAAACCGGAGCACCCGTAGGAAACCCACGCACGCACGGAGAGAACATGCAAACTCCACCCAGAAGGCACCTGGACCGGGGTTTGAACCAGGGACCTGTTCGCTGAGAGGCAGCAGCTCTACCAGTTGCGCCACCGTGCTGCCCAGTTAAAACATCATTTAAAGTTTAAACTATGCATGATTCAAATTACCTTTTTATATTTTGAATGGTTTTTTACACAATCACAGTTTACTTTTAAGACTTTAGAGATTTTAACAGAATTTAAGTGATGTTTTTACGCATACTGACATTTAAGCTGTTTAAAGTTTAAAAAATCTTGTAACTTTTTTGTTTTCTCACAGCTGTTACATTCAGGTGTACATAAACTGTAGACATTTTCACCCAGTGCGTGCACAGCTAAAGGACAAATTTTATCTCATAAAACACCGTAGACACAAAACATTTCACATAAGTAATGACCTGAAGCTTTTTTCATTCAAAAGTCATAAAGTTATTTTAATACAACTTTAATACAACTAAAAAGGCTGTGGTTACCATGGTGATCCTGAGCCACTGGAGAAGTTTTAACATTAATTTTGATCTTTCTTCCATTTACATTTCTTCTATAGTTTTTGCATTAAAATGTTAAAGTTGTCACATTAGATTATTACAGAAGTCTCTAATATCAAACTTTATAGAAGAAAGCAGATGTTTTTTGGGATGTAAATTTTATTTATTTTATCAGTATCAGCCCCTATTTATCATGCTTTTCCTTCTTGATGTGGTGCAAAACCTATTTGTAAGAAAGAAAGAAAAAAAATCCATCACATATATCATTTATCATGTATTTTTCTTTGAAACGTGAATCCTAAAAGTTTGCATTAAAAACACAGAGCGCTTAATATAAAGTAGTTCTAAAACTGTGGTTCTAACTATAGTTACACACAAAGAGCTGTTTGTAACACTCAAGTGGTCACCCATTGATGTTCATAATGATCCTCTGTAAAAGTCTGAGCAGCCTTGTTGTTTGTTCGGTTTGGAAGCTGACCTTTGTTTTCCTGCAGCTCGGGGTCATGACCTATCGAGACGTATCCAAGCAGAGCCCGGAGACACAAGCTGCCATCGAGCAGGAAGTCAGGGCTTTACTCAAGGTGACCAGTTCTACATCACTAATGCAGACGTTTTCAACTTTAGTTTTGGATCAGCTTCTAACATTTGGCTTCTTTCCTGCAGGAGTCGTACGAGCGAGCTAAAAGCATCCTGAAAACTTACAACATGGAGCACCAGAAGCTAGCAGACGCTCTGCTCAGATATGAAACTCTAGATGCCAAAGAGATCCAGATGGTGCTTGAAGGAAAAGCTCTGGACCACTAGAAGTTTAAAACTTTTAAATTGTGTAAATAAGAAGCCTTCTCTTTCTTGTGTGTTGATAAAGTGAAGAGTACAATGAACTAATCATATTTCACTCTTTTCATGTATTTTAGTTGGATCTTTTTCTTGACATTTCCATCAAAACAAATAAAATCCTGGATTTCTTTGTTTTCATACCAGTTTTAAATGGCTTCCTAAAGAGATGTTTTCGGTCTTTGAGTTAATTGAAGATAGGTCAGCTTTACTCACAACAGAAGACCTCTGTAGTAGTTTTTTTTTTTTTTTTTTTGGACTGTTGCATAACTTCATTGTGGATACGGTCGGACCTTAAAGTATCTTTGTCAAATGTGCTCTTCAGCTGCATAAAGCTCCAGATGTTGCTGGACTCTTTCCTGAAGAGTTCATTATTTTTATGCATTTCTCTCACGTACTCTTGTTTTTTTATTTATTTAGGTGCCCAAAGGTGTGTTCTTTCTTTATTTCTTTCTTTATTTCATCCCAACTAGTGATGGGTCCTTTTTTAGGCCTGTAAGAAGAGCTGTGTGTGATAAATGAGAGGATTTCACGCTGTGTAAAATACTAAAAGCCTAAAAGTATGAACTTGGTGCTTCTTGTAGACGAAGACCTTGAAACTCAATAAAAACTACACTCGGGAAACGCGTGTGAATGTGTTCAATTCAAGAGTTAAGGTTGTTTTTGCCAGCTGTTGATGTGGCAGTGATAAAACGACCAGCTCAGATGAGTTTGTAATCAGCTAAAATATTCATCAAGACTAAGCTTGTTCAGTTCTGACAAGATGCGAGTACTTTTTACTGACGTTTCTGTTAGATAAATAAATATGCTTTCATTGTCTACTTAAATAAACCACAATGAGGACACAGATATTTTTAAGCCAGTCTTGTGAGGGTAGACAGTCACGTAAACAGGCTTTCACAGATGTACAAAGTTTCATGTTTAGATCCTCGTCAGTGAGTCTGCACCGGACAGAGAGGCAGGAAGTGTTTTTATAATCCTTATCAGACAGAGGCCGGTCAAGACGACCTCGGCTTCACAGTTTACAGACTTGGAGCCGTCCTTGGAGTTATCAGGTGCGCCTGCAGGCTCCTCAGAAAACGACTCGCACACTGACATTAGTGACAAACATGCATAAACCTTTGCCAAAATTCCCTTCACCCGTTTCCCTAGCTGCTAAAAGATTTCATGATTTTTACAAATTCTTTTAAATTGTGTCAGGGAGATTATCATGATCCAGTTCTAAATAAAACTCACCTTTTAATTTTACTATTTCGTCAGAATGCAAAGAAAGTTCTGATAAATTACAACGGCTTTAAAAGCTCATTACATTGATCAGAATTATTAAACATCTGTTTTTACTGGAGTACAAAACCACTTAATGTGAAAACTGCTTTATTGGTCTGTAGATGGATTATTTTAATGTAAATCATGTTGAGGTGATTTAAACTTTTAGTGCAATAATTCATGGAAATCATTCATTTGAACTGACAAACAAACAAAAAAAAGAGTTAAAAAATATATAAGTTTATTTGATCGACATGTTTAACATTAATAAGCTTGATTATTCTTTGGATTGTGAAATTATTTAAATACTATAATGGTGATGGAGAGTAAGGATCCAAATTATTATTAAATATTCAGAATAATCTAAAATGTTGATTTCACAATTCCATACACCAATAAACACATTTCACCAAAGAGGAACTGACACAAATGGAATAACAATGTAAAATTTGAAAATCTAAAATAAGTTACTTATGTAAAACGTAAACTTGAAAGTGTTCTAATATGGTGCACGTTTGGGAGGCGGGTCATGATGGGGTAAGATGGGGTCAGTTGTAAAATGATGGGTTAGACCATTATTCAGATTTTGAGAGGGTTCATAATACGGGATAATTCTGTATTAAATGAGATGATTAGCAACCAATTTAAAAAGATAAACACTGTTTCGATTTAGGAGCCGTTCTATGCCTCAATGATCTTTAAAGTTTTGATTAAAATCAGTTAAATAATAAATACAGTAACTGTCTTTCAGTATTGCACATTTACTGTATAATGCTAAGAATCTGAAAATGTTTTTGCTCAAATATTTCATATTAATTTTCTAAGGCATTCTTTACACTTCAGTGCAAATTTTGTTTACAGTTTTGTTGCAGCTGTCTCATCAGAATACTCTAATCTCAACAGGATTTTTGCTTAAAAAAACAAAGTTAAATACACAGAATATCTCAAACAGCAATAAATAATGGGAAAAGAACGCCAAAATGTGTGCAAGTGTCCAATGTGTTTAAAGCTGCAAAAGTTAAAGAAATAAACATTTTTATTTCATGAAAGGTTATGAATAACTATTGCTTGCATGTGATCATATAATTGCCTGTTAGTTAGCAAAATATCTCATGAACCAGTGATAAAACTCTCAAAGTAATTACTGGATGCACATCAGCAACCAATTAACATTTTGAGTTAGAAAACATAAACATGTCTGTAACTTGGTCACATTTATGCAGAGATTGAGCTACAACCCAGATTCCAAAAAAGTTGGGACACTAAACAAATTGTGAATAAAAACTGAATGCAATGATGGAGGCCTTGGAGGGGGTACTGGAAAGTGCACCTCCTGGGGACTCCCTTGTTCTGCTGGGGGACTTCAATGCTCATGTGGGCAATGACAGTGAGACCTGGAGGGGTGTGGTTGGGAGGAATGCCCCCCCTGATCTGAACCCGAGTGGTGTTCTGTTGTTGGACTTCTGTGCTCGTCATGGATTGTCAATAATGAACACCTTGTTCAAGCATAAGGATGTCTATGTGTGCTCTTGGCACCAGGACACCCTAGGCCGCAGTTCGATGATCGACTTTGTCATCGTCTCATCTGATCTGCGGCCACATGTCTTGGACACTCGGGTGAAGAGGGGCGGAGCTGTCCACTGATCACTACCTGGTGGTGAGTTGGCTCCGATGGTGGGGGAGGATGCCGGTCAGACCTGGCAGACCCAAACGTATTGTGAGGGTTTGTTGGGAACATCTGGCAGAGTCTCCTGTGAGACGGAGTTTTAACTCCCACCTCCGGGAGAACTTTGAACATGTTCTGAGGGAGGTGGGGGACATTGAGTCTGAGTGGACCATGTTTCGTGCCTCTATTGTCGAGGCGGCTTACCGGAGCTGCGGCCGCAAGGTTGTCGGTGCCTGTCGCGGCAGCAACCCTCGAACCCAATGGTGGACACCGTCGGTGAGGGATGCTGTCAGGCTGAAAAAGGAGTCCTTCCGGGAGGGACTCAGAGTAGAGCCGCTGCTTCTCCAAGTCGAGAGGAGCCAGTTGAGGTGGCTTGGGCATCTGTTTAGGATGCCTCCTGGACGCCTCCCTGGTGAGGTGTTCCGGACACGTCCCAACGGAAGGAGGCCCAGAGGAAGACCCAGGACACGCTGGAGGGACTATGTTTCTCGGCTGGCCTGGGAACGCCTCGGGATTCTCCCGGAAGAGCTGGCCCAAGTGGCTGGGGAGAGGGAAGTCTGGGCCTCCCTACTTAGGCTGCTACCCCCGCGACCTGACCCCGGATAAGCGGAAGAAAATGGATGGATGGATGAATGCAATGATGTGGAGGTGCCAACATCAAATATTTTATTCAGAATAGAACACAAATCACAGATCAAAAGTTTAAACTGAGAGAATGTATCATTTTAAGGGAAAAATCTGTTTTTTCCAAATTTCATGGCGTCAACAAATCCCAAAAAAGTTGTGACAAGTCCATTTTTATCACTGTGTGGCATCCCCCCTTCTTCTTACAACACTCAACAGACATCTGGGGACAGAGGAGACCAGTTTCTCAAGTTTAGAAATAGGAATGCTCTCCCATTCATGTCTAATACAGGCCTCTAACTGTTCAATCGGGCAGCTGTGGCTGAGTGGTGGGTGGCTGAGTGGTTAGAGCAGTCATCCTCCAATGTGAGAGTTGGGGGTTCGAATCCACCAGCAGTCACATGTCAAAGTGTCCCTGTGCAAGACACTGAACCCCTCATAGCCTCTTATGTGTGTCCCATCAGTGTATGGATGTGATCTAAAGCACCGATTAGTCTCATTAGAATGATTTGTTCAATTAGCATTGTAAAGATCTAGTAGAGTGCTGTATGAATGGGTAAATGAGGACACAGATTGTAGTATAAAGCGTTTTGAGTATCTTGAAATAAGCTAGAAAGGCGCTATATAAGTACAGTCCATTTACCATTTCAATCGTCTTGGGCCTTCTTTGTCGCACCTTCCTCTTTATGATGTGCCAAATGTTCTCTATAGGTAAAAGATCTGGACTGCAGGCTGGCCATTTCAGTACCCGGATCCTGCTCCTACATAACCATGATGTTGTGATTGCTGCAGAATGTGGTCTGGCATTATCATGTTGAAAAATGCAGGGTCTTCCCTGAAAGAGATGACATCTAGATGGGAGCATATGTTGTTCTAGAACCTGAACATAGTTCTCTGCATTAATGGTGCCTTTCCAGACATGCAAGCTGCCCATGCCACAAGCGCTCATGAAACCCCATACCATCAGTGATGCAGGCTTCTGAACGGAGCGTTGATAACAACTTGGGCTATCCTTGTCCTCTCTGGTCTGGATGACATGGCGTCCCAGTCTTCCATAAAGAACTTCAAATCGTGACTCGTCTGACCACAGAACAGTCTTCCATTTTGCAACACTCCATTTTAAATGACCCCGGCCCAGTGCAAACGTCTGAGCTTGTGGAGCTTGCTTAGAAATGGCTTTCTCTTTGCACTGTAGAGTTTCAGCTGGCAACGACGGATGGCACGGTGGATTGTGTTCACCGACAATGCTTTCTGGAAGTATTCCTGAGCCCATTCTGTTATTTCCATGACAGTGGCATTCCTGTTTGAGGTGCAGTGATGTTTAACGAGCATCCAGTAGAGTTTTACGGCCTTGACCCTTACGCACAGCGATTGTTCCAGATTCTCTGAATCTTTTGATGATGTTATGCACGGTGTTGATGATGATAACTTAAAAGTCTTTGCTATTTTACGCTGGGTAACACCCTTCTGGTATTGCTGCACTATCTTTCTGCGCAACAATGGTGGAATTGGTGATCCTCTTACCATCTTTGGCTTCTGAGAGACACTGACACACTGAGAAGCTCTTTTTATACCCAATCATGTTGTCAATTGACCTAATTAGTGTTAATTGGTCTTCCAGCTGTTCGTTATATGCTCAATTTCCTTTTACCAGCCACTTATTGCTGATTGCCCAACTTTTTTGGGATTTGTTGACGCTGTGAAATTTTGAATCAACATATTTTTCCTTTAAAATGTTACATTTACTCAGATTAAACTTTTTTTATTCACAATTTGTTTAGTGTCCCAACTTTTTTGGAATCCGGTTTGTAGAATTTGGAGTGAAAGTAGTCAAGAGTCACCCTCAGCACATACTGAGTGCTAACAGATCACACTGGTGAAAGTTACTAATTATATTCTCATTCTTTGACAATGGACAGGTATCTTCACTGATCCTGTTAGACCTCAGTGCTGCATTTGATACTGTTGATCAATATATTCTACTACAGAAATCTGAATATGATATTGGAATTACATGAACAGCTCTAAATTAGTTTAAATCACATCTAGCTGATAGATTCCAATTTGTAAATGTAAATAATTAATCTGCATCATCATACACCAAAGCTGATGCTGATAATACACAGTTATAATTGTCCATGAAACCCAATTAATCCAATCAGCTATTTAGACTACAAACATGTCTTCAAGACATAAAAACATAGATGACCCTAAATTTTCTGCTTTTGAACACAGACAAGACTGAGGTTATAGGACCAGAGCATCTTAGGAATAAAGTTTTCAGTCTTTCTACCTCCTTAGATGGCATTAATCTGGCCTCCAGCTCTGATGTTAAAAATCTTGGTGTTATTTTTGATCAGGAGTCAGGACATGTCTTATCCTCCACATTAAAATGTTACTAGAACTGCCTTCTTCCATCTGCGTAATATCGCTAAAATTAGAAACTTATCTAAAAATCCATCCATCCATCCATTTTCTTTACCCGCTTATTCCATTTTGGGTCACGGGGGTCACTGGTGCCCATGTCCAGTAATCACTGTGCGAGGGGCGAGGTACACCCTGGACAGGTCGCAAGTCCATCACAGGGCCACATAGAGACAAACGAGACAAAAAACCATTCACTCTCTCACTCACACCTAGGGACAATTTAGAGTTACCAATCAGCCCAACACGCATGTTTTTGGTCTGTGGGAGGAAACCGGAGTACCCGGAGAAAACCCACGCATGCACGGAGAGAACATGCAAACTCCACCCAGAAAGGCCCCTGGACCGGGATTTGAACCAAGGACCTGCTCGCTGAGAGGCAGCAGCTCTACCAGTTGCGCCACCGTGCTGCCGTGAATAGTTTTCATTTGATACTATTTCTATCTTAACATGTGATTTTTGACCTGCCATTGTGTATCTGTTCCTCTCAAACCCAGCCAGTCAAAGCAGATGGCCGCTTGTCCTGACCCTGGTTCTGCTAAAAGTTTCTTCCTCATGAGGGAGTTTTTTCTTTCCAATGTCGCCTTCATGCTTGCTCAAGATGAGAGTCTGCGATGAAGCTAAACACAAAGCAGTCTGCTCCTCAGATAAATAATGTTAAATTATTATTTTGAAATGTGAGCGTTTCCGTTGACTTATTTTATATATGAATGTTTCTGTTCAGTGCCCTGAGATGACTTCTGTTGTGACTTGGTGCTATATAAATAAACTGAATTGAATTGATTTGAACTAGATCTTTCTTTGAAACATCACACAAGGAAGAAGGCAATATGCATTTATCCAAAGAATGATAGCATAATTCAAAACTATGATATGTTATTTTATTGTCTTTGTCATGTAGACTTCAACTAATTCTGGGTTTGAACATCACATTAAAATATATATATTTTTTGTTTGTTTAAAGCACTTCACATTCAGAAAAAAAAAAATTAAACACTTTTCCCTGCACTCAACAGTGACTGTTTGGGCTGCCGCTAAAAGAAACCCTAATAATTGGACTTCATGAGCCAGTGATCAAAAGGCCCCACAATGAAAAAAACAAGATGCTTTTGTTTGTCTCAGCTGCTTGAATGAGCAACTATGAGGTAAAACATTTTACCTTCAAGAGTGGAAGCCAAAGTTTGTGTCCTATTGAGGAGATAAAAGGATCATTTACTCTTGCTGAATTACCTAAAGCTGTAATTAAGGGATCTGATTCCAGCTGAGGCACGCTGAGTAGGACAATGTCTTCTTATCTTTTACTTTCATAAGAGGCTGTGAGACGGCAGAAGCCCCATTTTGGATGAAAACAGACGAACATCAAACCTCAACATGGTGAGGCTTGAAACTTGACTTTAAACAAATGAAGGGACATTCGTAAAAACCTTGGCGCAATGATGGAGGCCTCCGAGGATGACATAGCTGTTATTGGAATGGGATGCAATTTCCCTGGAGGTATGATTTTTTAAAATGAGCTGAACTTATATTCAGTTGTGTATGGGAAATTAGGGTTAATGTAATTAAATTTTTAGGTCAGGGGTTGGATAATTTCTGGAAAGTTCTACTGGAGGGAAAGAACTGTGTGGCAGATATTCCTTTTGAGAGGTTTGACACCAACTTTTGGTACAACGCAGACGCCAACAGGACTGGAAAGACACAAACAAGCAAAGCAGCTCTTATAGAAGGGTAAGTTTCGTTGTCTTATAGAGATAATTTTTTTTTTTGCTTGTGTTATGCAAAATTAGTCTTTTCATATTCCAGGTTTAATGAGTTTGACCACATGTTCTTTGGGATTCCTGAAGTGGAGGCTGACTCCATGGATCCTCAGCAGAAACTCCTCCTGCAGTGCACGTACAGGGCATTCGAAGATGCAGGCATAGCCATGGAGAGCATCAGTGGAAGCAAAACTGGTGTTTACATCGGTACTGCTTTCATATCTCACATTTTAAATCACATGCACAGATTGATGATGCAACACTTCAATTCTGCTTTGATTGTGCTGCTGCAGGTCTTATGAACAGGGATTACGAGATGATCAGAAACAACAATTCAGACTCTATAAGCCACTTCAACGGCACTGGGACAGCTATGAGTGTGGCAGCCAACAGGATTTCCTTCACCTTCAATCTCACTGGGCCTTCGTTTGTTCTCGACAGCGCCTGTTCTTCTTCTTTGGTGGCTCTGCATGTAGCCTGCCAGGCTATGAAGCAAGGTAAAAATATCTGTTTGCTCTAAAAAACATTAAAGTTTCACATTATATCAAATAGATTCATCACAAACATATTATGTAAGCTGCTTTCTGTTCAGATCTTTGTACGATCTCACACAGCTTCAGCAATATCGAGGTCTAGGCTCTGTATATACCCGTACCAGTTTTTGACTACTTATCTTTTGCTGCACTGGCAGTGTTTTGGGGATTATTGCTGTGCTGAAAAGTGTGATGGTGTAAAGATCTGAAGCTCTCCAGGTGGTTTTGCGTGATGAATCAAAATCAGCTTGTACTTTTCTGCCTTCTTGATTCCATAGATTTTCACAAAATCCCCAACTCTACTCGCTGAATGATAAAACTTCCACCAACATTTACAAATACCAATAGAAATTCATTGCGTAGTAGTGTGCCAAAGTTTTAAACCACTCCTAATTTAAATGTACTTTACTTCCAAGCAGCCAGACTTTCTCGTTTTCTGTGGTCTTCATCAACAGTTCTGGTTTTCTGATGGTACTTTACAGTTTATTCTTTGGATTTTAGCTACTTAAAAAAAAAAAAAAATTGTACGGTCTTCCTACCTGATCATATCAGCATATTGTGCAGTGCATTGAAAAAAATAAGAAAAGTGGAGGACAAAGAAAGATTAGTCAGGCCTAAAAACCATCTACTGTAAATTAGCAATATCTGAAAGTCGTCTTTTAGAAATTTGGAAAACAAATCCAGCAAAGACAAAATGTAAATATCTAACCAATGTTCAAACAAAAACTTTTAAAGCCCTTCGAAAAACCTGGAGAACTTTGGATCAAGACTATTTTAAACAAATACAAGAAGGTCTCACTCGTAGTCAGAAGCAGAAGGTTTATAAAGTATGGATGACTTTAAGGCACTTTTGGCTTAAAAGCCATAACAGCAGTCAAAATGTACAGCTTATTTATTATTTATTTATTTATTAATTACATTTTTAAACAGTAAAAGATTAAAAGAAATCGTGCCTGGCTCAGCATTTTTGCTGTTTTACAGCAGGTTCCTGTTCTGCAGAACATAAAAAACACACAGATATCCAGCATCACATCGCATTAATGGACACACAGACATACTAAATTACAAAAATACAAGAATGGCAGCATTAATACGGCAGACACCTAACGGTGATTGCAAAAGAAGGTATCCAACAGATGACACGCATGAGTCTTCTTAAAAAGTGGGAATGTTGAGATGGACTTTAGATGTTGTGGAACGTCATTCCATGCTTTAGTATAAACATAGAAAAATGATCTCTGGCCATAACAGTTTTTAAAGGCTGGTAGTGACAAATGTCTGCTTGTAACAGCTCTAGTCAAGCGACCATGTCCATTATTGGTTTTAGGCATCAAAGTAGAAAGAGCTGCATTACTGACACCATGAAAAACCTGAAAATACAATTTAATACTGCTGTGTAGAACATAATTTTGAAAAGTTAGAGCATTTGAAGAAGAAAGAGCTTACAGTGATGAGTCCAGCCAGGAAGTTTGTTATGAATTTTGTAGGCCCCATTGTAGAGCCTAGCTGTGGGTTTCAGGATTTCATTAGTAGTAAGAGACCAGACCGGTAAACAGTATGACATAGTTGAAAGTATTATGGCATGAAGAAAAGTGTTTGAAACAGAAAATGTCAAATTTGATCTAATTTTGGAGTAAACATACATTTTTTGTTTCAGCTTGGTACATAAAGATTACACGTGGTCATGATAAGTTAAATGGGAGTCCAAGATAATTCCCAGATATTTATAAGTAGTGACAATAGAAAGGGGTTTGTTTAAAAAAGTAAGAGGATTTGATATACTGAAATGTCTTCCAGGTGAGGAAAAATACATACATACAGTTGTTTTTTTTTTTGTTTTTTTTTTACATTAATCGTCAAGTGATTTTCTTGTAGCCAGAAATGAAATTGCTGAAGATCTGCTTGTAGCTGATTGTTGATAGATTCGATATTTGAGCCAGATAAGAAAAGAACAGTATCATCAGCATACATTAAAATATTGGAATGATTAAATATTTTGGGAAGGTCATTTATGTATAGTAAAAAAAAAAGCAATGGACCCACTACCCTGTGGGACTCCCATAGAGCAGGGTAGTGACTGGGATGTACAATTTCCATGTTTCACGACCTGGCACCTATCAGTTAAATAGGAACAAAACATTTGAATTGCAGAAAATGAAAGTCTAAAAGAAGTCAGTTTTTGTAAGAGTATAATGATCAACTGTATCGAATGCTTTACGGAAATCGATATATACAGCGCCAGTTACTTGACCTTTATTCAGAGCAGTACGTATTTGTTCAGTAAACAGTGTTAATGCTGACATGGTTGACCTTGAAGCACAAAAACTATGTTGGTTATCGCTTAACATATTATTACCCTCTAAATGGTGAAGTAATTGGTTAAACAGTGTTTTCTCAAGTAACTTAGAAAAAATTGGAAGGACTGAAATTGGCCGATAATTTGAAACATCAGTCGAATCACCAGATTGGAGAATAGGAGTAATCTGTGCAGACTTCCAGGCAACGGGGAAAATTGACTGCGTAATGCATAAGTTAAGTAGATGATTAAATAATGGTATAAAAGTGCTGGCATGCGTTTTCAAGAAATTCATATTTAACTTGTATATATCACAGGCATGTGAGCTATTTAAAGATTGTAATATATCCAATAGATCAGTCTGTGAGATTTCAGAAAAAGAAAACTGCTCAGAGTTATCAGATAATTTAGATGACTTTGAACTATTAGAAGGCCCAGGTAATGATTCCTGAACAGAAGAAATAAAGTATTCATTAAATAGGTTAGCGATTTTTTCATGATCAGAAATAAGGAGACCTTCTGCTGAAATGTGTAAATTGTTGTTGAAAGTTTTGTTGTTATTTTCCCCTGTTACAGACTTAATTGTTTGCCACAAAGTTTTTGAGTTTGTACCTGCTGAAATAATTTGCTTTTGAAAATACTGTTGTTCAGCTTTACGTAATTTAGTAGTGCATTTATTGCGATAATGATTAAAATTTTTTTTTTCATTTAGCCTTTATTTATCCAGGTTAGTCTCATTGAGCCACGAGAACTCATTTTCAAGAGAGACCTGTTTTTTTTAGGGAGCACATGGTGGGGGTTAAGGGCCTTGCTCATGGGCCCAGGGTGGGGCGAATGAGAGTGGGGGCAAGTGTGGGTGTTTCACCTACCCCACCCACAATTTTTGATGTTGTCGGGGCCGGGCCGTGAACCGGCGATCTTCGGATCACAAGCCCACCTCTCTAACCTCTGCGCCACCACTCCCCTAAAATGGGACCTATTTTCAGGTGTTTTTAATAACCTATAGGTTTTCAAAGAGGAAGCTTTCAGTTTTAAGAGGCGTATTAAAGAAGCATTCAGCCATGGTATTTTATTTTGTCTGATTGGAATTCTACAAGTTGAGATATATTTTTGCCATATAGTCTCCAATTTATTGTAAAAATTTGTTAGAATTTGATTGGGATTTGACAAATAAATATCTTCACTCCAATCAGTATTTTTAATTTCTGCATTAAACATAGTTTGTTTTGAATTCGGAATCTTTTTACAAGAATTATGTACATGACATGTTGATTGCTTAAGATTATTTCTAATGACATAAATAAGTGAATGATCCGAGACTGAAGTATTTATGACTCCAGATATACCATATGTAGAGGGTCGGTTTATAAATATAAGATCCAAAATGGAATTGTATGTCTTACCAAATCTAATCGGTACCTTAATTAATTGTTGTAGCCCCAGCTTTGTGGCCATGATTTTCAAGGATTTTGAAGCTTTATCTGCCCAATTCATATTGATATCACCAAGAATCACAAGTTCCTTTGATTTTATGCCTTTAATGACGTCAGTAAGCTGCTCTAAATATGTATTTGAGTTAACATTTGGGGGTTTGTATGTAACAACAACCGTAACTGAGAGAAGATGTGTAAGCTTAATTTCTAAGTGCAGAGATCTAGTTCTGTTATGGAATGTGGGTGTTTTTTATGTACATTAACAGCAACACCACCTCCATTCTTATCCTTGCGGTCTCTATTTGCAACATCTTAGTGCCAACATTTGCTTTACAGCTTTACACTGCTTGAGTTCCCAGAATCACTTAATTCTGTAAACTTTCATCCCTACATCTTTTAGTCTAATTTTTTTTACAGAAGAAAGAAAAAAATGTACCTTCTTTCAATCAGTTTTATCTAATTCCATTGTAATCCCTCTGACTCTGCTTACATTAAGTTAATATTTTACCGCCTCAGTACCCATAGCACACTGAAACTGTCCAAAATGCACTTATCAGTGTAATTAAACAAGACATGACTGTTGACAACAAAACACAATTCTGCTGATTTCACTTATTTATTACAAATGATGCAGTGGATCTCTGGTGATGATGATTATTTAGTGATTTTTTAAATCATAGATAATACACAATAATTACAAAAAAATGAAAATTAAAAAAAACATTGAAAAATCACATTTTAACAGTTATTGTGGCTCTAATGCACTTTCAATGCTTTTCACTTGGTTAAAAAAAACAAACTAATTTTGATTATTGTCCCTCATCCAGGAGATTGTGAGCTGGCGCTGTGTGGGGGAGTTAATTGTATCATAGAGCCAAGAGTATTTGTTGCTCTCAGCAAAGCTAAGATGATCTCACCTGAAGGAACCAGCAAACCTTTCTCCGTCAGCGCCGATGGTTATGGCAGAGGGGAAGGCTGTGGTGTCATACTCCTGAAACCGCTCAGAAAGGTAGGTAAATAGTTAATTTTCTTGGAAAAGAAAAATAACATGATAAGGACAGAAAGCATGAACTATAAATATACTTGCAAGCCTGCAAATGATCTTCTTTTATATCTAAAGGCTTTAAAGGACTACAACAAAATATGGGGCATCATCTGCAAAACAGCAGTCAACCAGGATGGACACGCTACCACTCCGATTACTAAACCCTCCATGACACAACAAGAAGAGCTGCTGCGAACTATCTACTCTGACTCTGACATTGCAAATGTCCAGTACATAGAAGCTCACGGAACCGGAACCCCAGTTGGTGACCCAATAGAGGCAAGAAGCATCTCCAATGTCATTGCTAAAGCTAGACCTCCTGGTTCAAAGCCACTGCTGATCGGGTCTGTGAAAGGTAACATTGGACACACAGAATCCGCAGCCGGTGTGGCTGGACTCATTAAGGTACTCCTAATGATGAAATGTGAAACCATTGTTCCATCAGTTTTTTACTCGAAACATAACTCTAGTTTAGACGAGAAAGCTCTAAATCTACATATTCCAAGCAAAACTGAAAGATGGGAAGCAAGTGGATCATTGGGGAGGGTGGCAGGAGTCAACAGCTTCGGGTTTGGGGGCACAAATGCACATGTCATTTTAAGAGAGCACAATCAGGATGTAGTTCCCACAAAAACCTGGACGAAACTCTTTGTATTGTCTGCATCTTCTGAGAAATCTTTGATCCTGACCATCACAGACACACACCAAAGACTTTGCAACGATCAAACAAGTGACTTACAGAGAATTTCTTACACTTCAGCATGTAGGAGAAGTCACTGCAAAAACAAATTTAGAAAAGCCTTTTTGACACATACACTCACAGATTTAAAACGACAGCTCAAATCTGAACTAAACACAACACCTGAGTTGGTAAAGCCCGATGTCCAGCTGGTGTTTGTATTTTGTGGAAATGGTGTTTCCTACTGGGGTATGTGCAAGCAGCTCATGAGAGAGGTCCCGGCTTTCAGAGAAAAGGTTAGAGAAGTTGAAAATATCTTCCAGACTCACCAAACCATCAATATCAGTGGATTGCTTGCTGGTGAATGTGACAACAGCAATGTCAGCCAGCTGAACGTGGTCCAGGCTCTTCTTTTTTCGATTCAAATTGGTATTGCCACTCTCTTGATGCGCTGTGGTGTCAAGCCCACTATTATGCTTGGTCACTCTGTTGGAGAGGTTGCTGCGGCTCACTGCTCAGGTCTTCTGTCTCTTGAGGATGCAGTAAAAGTCTTGTACCACCGCAGCACACTTCAGAGCAAAGTCACAGGAGGAAAAATGCTTGTAGTCAGCAATGTAGCTGTAAAAGATGTTCTAGAAGTTATTTCAGCTTTCTCTGGGAAGATCTGTGTAGCTGCTTACAACAGCCCTCAGTCTTGCACTTTATCAGGAGATGCAGATGTTGTTGATGTACTGCGGGACAAATTGATGGTCAAGTTTGCAGGTAGAAATATCTTTCTTCATGTCTTGGATGTTCCTGTTGCTTACCATAGCCATATGATGGATCCAGTTCTAGAAGACATGGAAAGGATCACTGGTCTTTTGGGCATTAACAACATGGAGTGTGAGCTTTTTTCAACAGTAACTGGAACAAAGTATTCACATGGTGATTTCAGTTCCGGTACATACTGGGCAAAAAACGTCAGAAAGCCTGTTTTGTTTGATAAAGCTCTTCATGCTGCTATCAAAGACAAAAAGTCTAAAGGAAATGTGGTCTTTGTGGAGATAGGACCTCGAAGGGCTCTTCAGAGGTATATATGTGAGACTCTTGGAGATGACACCACAATTTTTTCTACTGTCCAACCAGAGAAAGATTGTGACTCAATCTCCTTGACTTTGGCCAGACTGTTTGAACTTGGCATTAATGTAAACTGGAATGAAGTCTACGTGGGTTGTGAGACAATGCCCACAACTATTCCGGTGTATCAGTTTGTCAACTCAAAGAAAAATGTGAATTTTGAAGCTGTAAGAAGAGGCAATGAACAATTGGCTGTTTCTCATCATAGGTCATCATGGGTCAAATCCCAATTAAAACAGGATAAGATCCAAGTAACATATGACATCTCACTGGAGACTACACCATTTCTTTGGGAGCATAAAAATAACAATGTTTCCATTGTGCCAGGTGCACTTTATGTTGAGTTAGCTTACTCCACAGTGATGGCAAACCTAAATCCAAAGAAACCCATATCGCTTCTCAGGCTCAGTGTAACATTTGAGAATGTGCTTACTCTAAATCTAAAATCCCAACAGCTAAAGGTGACTTGGGAACAATCAGAGATGGAGACTGTTTTTCAGATACAGTCTTCTGTTGCAACACATGCCTCAGGCACATTCAGGTACACAGATCAACAACCACTTTTAGAGGAATCATTCATTAATGTTGATGTGCTCTACCAAAGATGCAAACTGGTTATGACAAAAGAGGAGGTTTATTCAGTTCTGTCCCAAGCAGGATTTGAGTATGGCCCTCTTTTCAAACAACTACACAATGTGTGTTTGGGGAATGAATTCAAGGAAGCTGTCACAACTTTCCAAGTCCCTGCTGAACTTCAGGAAAATCTCCATGAGCATGTAATTCATCCTGTGCTTCTGGATTATTTCTTGCAAATGACCTCTGTGATAGCAATGAGGCAACTAGCAGTCACACAGGGATTTCCCTCATGTATTGCAAGTATTGTCATATCAGGACCCCTGCAGAATGAAATGGTCATGTACTTGCGAGCAACTCAAGAGACAAAAGACTTCCTTGATGTATGTGGTTGCTTTTCCACAAAAGAGGGGAAAGTATTGGTGGAAGTGAAAGGGCTAAGAATTTCTTTTTTGAACTCAATCTCAAATGCTCCTCAGTCATTATTCTTTCATAATGTACAAGTTGAATTAGCAAATGAGACAGATGTGCAGGACTGCAAAATAAAAGCAATTATCTTTGAAGATCAGCTTGGCATTGCTAAAGGTCTAAGACCATCTTTATGTCCAGAGTCAGTCTTTGTGGGGGGCAGAAAGAAGCTCACAGCAGGTGAAGTTCGAAACATTTTGTGGGATTTTCTGAACAGCAATGAGGATCTAAGAAACATTCTTTTCCTTTGGGGTATTGAAGACCTCAGTCACTTGTCTTCTGAGAAGATCTTGGAGTGCTTCATAACTTGCTGTGAGACATTTCGCCAGATTGTTTTAGCTGTCAAAGAGAGCAAACATTCCTGTGTTGTCAGGGTCATAACTTATAGAGCAACAGAAGCCACTGTGGACCACGTGAGTTCTGCTTTTGTGCTTTCCGGTATGTTAAGAGCTTGCTCTGTTGAGATGCCAGGACTTCATTTCCAGCTGGTTGACCTTGCTTCTGTGACCAGTGAAGACATCAGAACACTGGCTTATATAATTAAAACTTCCAAACAACAGGAGGTCAGAATCAGTAAAGGACAGGTATCAACAATAAGAATAGCACAAACTACAGTGGAAGACAGTGATTTATTTGAAGGTGACAAATCCTCAGTGAATCTGAGAGATTTTATCCTTCAGACCACTAATCCCTACAGAATGGCTGACCTGTCTGCCATCCCTTCTAACACTGATGGACATCTTGTCCAAGAAAACTCTGTTGAGATTCAGCTTACCAATATATGCATTCATTCCTCCGATTTCTTCCCTGTCAGCACTTCTCATTTCAGCTTTGGCAAGACATTGTACTGGAGCAAACATGTGTCACAGTATCACAAGGTGTTGGCTTTAGATTTTAGCGGCATTGTCACGTTCGTTGGTAGGCATGTCAAAAATCTAAAAGCAGGAGACAATGTTGCATCATGTTATCCTGTTATTGCTGCTACAAAGATTGTGATCCCTGAAGAAGTGTGTTACAGCACAAAGACACTTCCGTTTCTCAGAGAAACTCCCTGCGTGTCATACTTTATACTGGCATGGGAGATTTTACAGAAACTGCTGTCTGACGTGAAAAAAATGGATAAAAAATTGGCAATTATCTCCACAAACTCAGCCTCTGCTCTCTTAAAAGTTCTTGCTCTCACAGCAAGCAGGTCAGGTTGGAATGTATCATCTCGAGCACGTTTTACTAGCGAACTGTCACATTTCGACGCTTTTGTTTTTCTGCCGCCTTTTGGTCACTGTTTGGAGGGAATGCGTGACACTGGAGGCCTTGTAAAACATATTGTTTTTGTGTGGAGCAGTCACATGTCACCTTTAAAGTCCACCAGCGGATTTGTCTCAAACAATGACCACATTCATGTGCATAACCTGGATGTGGCTTGCGTTCTCCAGAAAACCAATCTACAAGCACAAAACAAAAATATCTACAACTGGCTTTTGTCATTAGGTTTTGAAGCAGAATCTTTGCCTCTTAGAGGGGAGATGAATCAGACAAGAGAGCCCGAGTCCTATTTCATGACTACAACAGTGCAGCAAGTTGTTTTTAACTATGAAGGATGTGATTTCCCAACATCTGAGAGCAACTTGCTCACAAAACCCAGACAGCTCTTCAAACCACACTGTGTTTATATTGTAACTGGTGGATTGTCTGGTTTGGGGTTTGAGACAGTTAAGTTTATAGCCCAAAACGGTGGAGGCTGTATTGCAATACTGTCAAGAAGGGCTCCATGTGATAACATACAGTTTGAAATGGATCTCCTCCAGAAAAGATTTGGGGTCACTATCCTAAATATCCAGTGTGATGTTTCGGTGTCAGTGCAGGTGGTGAATGCCATCTCCAAAATTGGACAAAGATTTCCATCTTGTCCTATTAAAGGAGTTTTCCACAGCGCTGCCGTGCTGCATGATGCGCTAATTGAATCCCTTGATGAGTCTCTCTTCAGGAAGGTCCTAAAACCCAAAGTGAGTGGTGCTTTGAATCTTCATTTTGCAACACTTCACAGCAAACTAGATTTTTTTGTTTGCTATTCTTCCATCTCGTCATTCATTGGCAACGCCTCACAGTGTAACTACTCAGCAGCCAATTCTTTCCTTGACACGTTTTGTCATTACCGGAACAACCTTGGGCTTACTGCACAGTCCATCAATTGGGGTCCTTTGAATCTTGGTTTGCTGCTGAATAAAAAACACTTTCAGAAGTTTTTGGAGGCCAAAGGTTTGATGACAATGGGTGTGTATGAAGTTCACGAGACACTTAAGAAGTGCATTTTAATGAACAGACCACAACAACTAATATGCAGATTCAACTTCAAAAACCTCAACGCACATGTTCTGTCACAAAACGAGTCTCTCAGGGAGCGACTGTCAACTTTAGTAGAAGCAATGCTCAAAGATGAAACACATGAAAAATGTAACGTTCAACTTTCTTCTTCCACACATGAGAGTCTGAAGGTGATTGTTGGTGAAATACTGAGTGTCAGTGCAGTTGAACTGGATGATGATTCCTCTCTGAGTGCAATAGGGATAGACTCAATGTTAGCCATGACTCTGCAGAACAAGATTTTCCAGGAGACAGGAGTAAATGTACCTTTGGTTATAATACTGGACCCCAAAAGCACACTTGTCACTTTAACCAATGTGGTCCTTAACAGTGAGTAATTTTATGCAAAACCTAATGTACAAAGAGCTAAGTGATTGTGCAGATAGATGCGAAATATGAGGAAAATATGTAGCAGAAAGATTATTCTAATAGAAAACTTTATTAACTTGCAAGTTTGCAAATACTGATCGCTGCTGGTGAACTTGCAGCAACTTTCTGCCAATAATTAGTTTTACTGCTACTAGAAAATATTTTCATTTGAAATAGTATTCTGTAGACAAGTTCTGAACAATAATAGCTTACCATGTTGTCATTATTGTGTTAAAAATACACTTTTAATATACAGAGCCAGTTGATTTATGTAAATAACTAATCATCTTTAAGATTTTTTTAAATCGTACATATTATTTGACAAAACTAACCCCAGTACTTTTGTCCTGAATCTTACTTTTTTGCTTGTTAAACGTTTTAGCATGTGTCAGAGGTTTTTTGTGTAATGTAGCATTTTTTACTTCAACATTAAAGGACGACTCAGCACACAAACAAATGACAAATGTGGTCATAATGTCTGTATGGATTCATATGTCACTGTTTGAAGTTAACTTTTTTTTTTTGCTTTTAGTGTTTTCTTTTTAAGTCTTAATAATTTGTACAAAGTAATTGTGCCTATGTTGTGCTTTTATGATATATATGTTGTGGAATGTAAACATTGAAGTGACTGTAAAATGTGCAAGTTTAAACCTAAAAGACTAAATCTTTTTTAAATAAATCCAAGTTTTTATTGTACAATTATGAGCCAGATATATTGTATTAAAATTTGGACAAATAACAACAGAATTGTGTTGAGAAGAAAAAAAAAAAGATATTTACTGGTAGCATATTTAAGACACTGACAAAAACATTTGTTACATGTTAAAAATGTTCTAAATAAATACCTTAACATATCTGAAATAAAACATTTTTCTAAAACCCCAAGCATTGTTTTGCCAAAGAAAATTGTTATAAAATCTTTATATATTACTCAATCATATCGGTGTTGAAGTTTATTTACAACTATAAATCATTAGACTTTGTTTCCATTAATGTATAATAAATTAATGGTTCAAACAGCAAAAGACACATTATTCACATTTGTTGCCAATGTAAGATTTACAAGACATAGAAAAACACAGTATTACATTTTTACACCATCACCATTAAGTTGATAATCAATCAGAACTTATCAGTGATAAGAAGTGACCACGAACTGGAGAAAGACACACAATTTAATACAAGTAGATATGTTTAAAGATAAAACTGTGAACAACATTTATTACATTTTGTAACACAGTACAAAGCTCCTGGTCCCACTCCTCCTGTTCAACAAATATTCATTAAACCTTCTGAGTTCTTCACCGGAGACCCTGACCAATGTGGCGGCTTCTTGCTGCAGTGCAGACTCGCCTTCGAGGGGGCTCCCTCTCAGTTCTCCTCGGACGCGGCCAAGATCACCTTTTTCGTAAGTCAGCTCAAAGGTAACGCTCTCTGGTGGGCTCACTTGTTTCTTCTGAGCCATGATAATCCCCCAGCTACCTATGAACTATTTCTGCGTGAGTTTCGTAGGATTTTTGATCGCCCCCTGCAGACGTCGAACGCTGCCAAGAGTTTGTTGAATTTACGACAGGGCCGTCGTAATGCTTTGGAGTTCGTCTTGGAGTTTCGGATCCTTGCTGCCCAAACAGGATGGGACGAGCCTGCCCTCCAAGGTATTTTCTTAAACGCAATATCTGATTTTCTCAAAGACCAGATGGCTACGCGAGATGAGCCCGAGACTTTCGACAAGTTAACAGACCTTGCCATCTCCATCGATGACCGTTTCCGGGAAAGGAGAGAGGCAAACTACAATTCCCATCGACCCCCGACTTCCGGGTTTCTGACTTCTCCAGGTGAGCCCAAGTCTGCACCGTTGTACTACGTTTCCCAGAATCCTCCCACTTCCGGGTTCACGACCCCTCGCCATGAGTCCGCTTCACCCAAGCAGTCCCCCTTGAACTACAACTCCCAGTCTTCCATGCTTTCTGGTTTCAACCAATCATCGTCTTTTCCTCTACGGGATCGCTCCCCCGAGCCCATGCAGGTGGGGCGCGCACGGCTGACTCCTGCAGAGAGACAGCGGCGTGTATCTGCCTGTCTCTGCATTTATTGTGGTAACCCCGGTCATTTTCTGCCCCACTGTCCGTTTCGGGGAAACGAGAACTTCCATCAGTAAAGCGGGAGTTACTGGTGGGAACGTCTGCGTTAACCTCCCCATTCAAACTATTACTTCCCATGGTCATTCAGACACCTGACCATCGCTTTTCGTTTTCTGCTCTCATCGACTCGGGTGCTGAACAAAACCTGATCAGCTCTGATTCAGTTAGAGAACATTCTTTGCCCACTCGTGAGATTCCTCCGATTTCTGTCGCCGGCTTAACCGGAGACACTTTGACTCGTATAAACCTTAAGACTACCGATTTGCATGTCATAATCTCAGGAAATCATCACGAGATGACCGATTTCTTCGTGTTTAACTCTCCTACGCCCCAAATAATTTTAGGTTTCCCCTGGCTCTGAAACCATAACCCAGTTATTAATTGGGAGCGCGGCTGTGTTGACAAATGGAGCGACAAGTGTCTCAGTAACTGTCTTCGCTCCGCCATTAAAGAGTTCCCTCGGAACACGACTCCTCTAGAGGAGATCGACCTCACCTCTGTTCCTGCTGAATACTGCGACCTAGCGGCAGTCTTTAGCAAGCAACGCGCCTTGTCTCTTCCTCCTCATCGTCCCTATGACTGCTCGATTGACTTATTACCTGGTGCCTCCTTGCCGTCAAATAGACTTTATAATCTTTCTGGTCCCGAAATGGAGTCTATGTCCAATTATATTAATGAATCCCTTGCCTCAGGTATTATTAGACCCTCGACCTCCCCTTTGGGAGCCGGTTTCTTTTTCGTTTCTAAAAAGGATAAAACTCTCAGGCCATGTATTGATTACCGCAGATTAAACAACATAACTGTTAAAAATAAGTATCCGCTCCCCCTCATTGACTCGCTGCAGGAACAATTACAGTCGGCTTCTTGCTTCACTAAACTCGACTAAGCCCTGTCCAGGCAGTTTGCCCCTCCTGATGCGCCTGAGGGCTCCAATAACATTGTTCCCCCCCACCTGTATTGTCGGCTCCCTCTCCTGGCCCATCACCGCTACCATTCAGGAGGCCCTTCTCTCCGAACTCGATCCTGGTGGTGGTCCCCCCGGTACCCTCTTTGTTCCTTCCAGCGTGCGGTCCGACGTGCTCCAGTGGCTTCACTCGAACAAGCTTTCTTGCCACCCTGGAGTCAACCGCATGCTCGCCCTCACAAAGACTCATTTCTGGTGGCCCTCCATGTCCAGAGACATTAAAGACTTTGTTTCGGCCTGTCCCATCTGTGCCAGAAACAAGTCTGGTACACAACCTCTGGCTGGCCCTCTGCTTCCCCTCCCGACCCCTAGTCGCCCCTGGTCCCACATCGCCCTCGATTTTGTGACCGGTCTTCCCCCATCTGATGGCAACACCACCATCCTCACGGTTGTTGACCGTTTCTCCAAGGCCGCTCACTTCGTTCCCATTCCTAAGCTCCCTTCTGCCCTTGAGACCGCTCACCTTCTTACCCTCCATGTTTTCAGGCTCCATGGGCTTCCTTCAGACATCGTCTCCGACCGAGGCCCGCATTTCATCTCCCAGGTCTGGCACTCCTTCTGCAAGTCGCTCGGGGCGTCCGTTAGCCTTACCTCCGGCTACCATCCTCAGGCTAATGGGCAAGCTGAGCGCTGCAATCAGGAGTTGGAGTCCACCCTGCGTTGCCTGGTCGAGTCCAATCTATCGTCCTGGAGCCAACACTTGGTTTGGGTGGAATACGCCCACAACCCTCTCCGTTCCTCTGCCACCGGTATGTCCCCCTTCGAAGCTTCCCTTGGTTACCTTCCTCCTCTTTTCCCCAGTTCTGAGTCCGACTGCTCGGTCCCGTCCGTGCAGCACCACTTTAGGCGGTGTCGTCGCATCTGGTGCCAGGCCAAGGCGGCCCTCCTTAGGACCGCGGCCCAGGCTCAACGGTTCGCAGACCGCCACCGTTCAGAGACACCCGCCTACCAGGTCGGCCAGCAGGTTTGGTTGTCCACCAGGGACATCAAACTGCGGGACACTCCCCGTAAACTGCCCCCCCGCTTCATTGGTCCCTTCCCCATTCCCCGCATCATTAACCCCTCTGCGGTCCGTCTCCAACTCCCCAGGGCCATGAGGATTCACCCAACCTTCCACATCTCCCAGGTCAAGCCCGTCTCCCTCAGTCCCTTGTGCCCCCCTTATGACCTCCCCCCGCCGTCCCGCCTGATCGACAACCACCCTGCGTTCACCGTCAGATCCATCCTGGACGTGCGACGCAGGGGTAGGGGTTTCCAGTACCTGGCCGATTGGGAGGGGTACGGTCCTGAGGAGAGGTCATGGATCCCCAGGTCTTTCATCCTCGACCCCAGCCTCATCTCCAGGTTCTTCAGAGACCACCCCGAGAAGCGCCTCAGGTCACCTAGAGGCGATTCTTGAGGGGGGGGGGGTACTGTAAGGGTCCCACTGCCTGCAGCCTGCCTTGCTGATGGCCGCTGATTACCAACACCTGGCGGCCATCAGCCTGATGAGCCTCTCCATCTACAAAAGGCTGCAGCCCAGTGTGACTCATCGCTGGAACATATCACCTCTCATGTTTCCTGGTTCCTCGTGTTTTTGGATTCTCCTCGTGACCTGATCTGGATCCCTCGGCCTGTCAGGTATTCCTCGTGCCATTTTTGCCTCCAGTTGCCAGCCTTCCTCGTTCCCTTGGACCCTCGTTGGATTCCCCTCTGCTGCTCACTCCCTGGACTGAAGGACCAGCTCCCCTCCTTTCGGGTTTGGACTGAGTTGCTGAGAAGCCGTGTATCTACATTCACTGTACATAATAAACACTGTTCTTTTGTACTCCCCCTGTGTCTGCCTCGTTCTGGGTCTCAAACTATCTGGGTTCCCCGCGTAATCGTAACAGAAACGTTTCGTCTTTTATCCAAAAGACTTTGTCAGTCTGAGGAGCTGCAACAAACTCAGTCTTATAAATAGCACCTTCTCATAGTGGATCAACCAGCTTGCTGCTGACAGCCAAAACTAGCTGTTCACATCAAACAACAAAGTCCATGCTCAATAATCTAGGTATACAATCCAACATTTTTCAGTCAGGTCATCTGGACATTTTTTTTTTTTTGTGCTGAAACGTTTCACCTTCGGTCCGGAAAGCTTCATCAATCAAGGAAACACACAACAAAACTGATTCTTCCCCCAACAGCTTACTCCAAAGTGGAACAAACCAGTTCTGCTTGTGATAAGATGTTTAGATTGTGATTAGCTGTTCACATGATAGGACAAAAGCTTAATCTATTGCAACCCCCCCCTCCCCAAGAACTTTCTGTGCAAGCTTATCAGAACTGCTGGCTGGAACAACATCTTCAGAAACTGTGGCTGATCTGAAAAAACGCTCATGGACAAATCGCAACACCTCGATATCAAATGCAAATGTAATCATGTTTTAATTGTGCTTGCTGGTAGAGTTTTTTGATGTCTCAAATCGTGTCCTGATAGACAAGATGTGAAAGATCTTTTTTTGCAATACCACTATCTACCCTCATGTTTCTCCCCCTTTTCCTATCTAAGATTATTATCTGATAAGGATAAAATGGCCGCGCTCTCCTGTTGTTTCAGCTTCGTGCACTCAGCCCATCTTTCGGACGACTGTACGTACATATTCGCGTTGTACCTCGGTGCAATTCCAATAAAGTTTATTCTGATTCTGATAAAGGAGGACCATCAGCCTAACAACCGATTATTAGTGTCCTGATGGCTGCTTACTATTCGCAGAGGGCTGAGTGATACGAGCAATAACAGCATTATTAGAGGGGACAGTTTTACACGGAGGCCTCTGCCCCTGTTTAATGATGGACAGTTTCTCTTCACAAAGATGGCTTCCTTCATTCCTCTTTCAAACCAGCATTCCTCTCTATCAAGGATGTGCACATCTTCAACAAAACCTTTCAACAATTTATTTATTTATTTATTTATTTATTTTAAGCCGTCCAGAGGACCTGATTTGAATTTGTTAGATTTTTCTACCTGCATTATTGAGCATGCATCCGGATGTCCTTAATAATGCACTAAAAAAGCTAAACATTGACAGAGAAATTGGTAGAAAAATAAATTATATTGTGAGACAAACAAGTGGCCTAAACACACTTTTGTTTCCATCTTAATGTGTATGAAATGTTCTCCATTGACGCTTTTTAAAATTATTTTGTTTTATTTCTTAAAGTCTTGTTGAAAAACCTGTGTCACTTGTGTCTTCGCTGACATTTCCACCTTCAGCTGCTTTGCTCAGCTCTGTGATCACTGTTAATAATGTAGCATTGGGATCCAACAGTTTCATCAGAGGCACATTCACACCTCTCTCTTGAAATATTAGGTTTTGCAGAGTCATAGCCTGCATTGAGTCAATGCCTAGTGATGAAAGAAGGGACTCTTCACTCAGCTCACTTTGATCAATGCTGATGGTCTCACTCAGCAGAGAGAAAACATATTTTTTTGGCGAAACCAAATCCATTTGTTTGGTCTCCGCATCGGCTTCTCTGGAGTTTTGGTAGGCTTTGTCGACTAATGCTTTAAGGCGCAAGGTCAAAGCTTTGTTTTGAGACAGGATGTTGTACCTGATGTTCCTGAAGTGAAACCTGCAGACAGCCTGTTGGGGTCGGTTGAGCATGAGGCACTGCTCCAAGCTTTTATAAATCTCAGCCACATCTAACAACATCATACCCTTTGCTTCCAGGAAGCGATGAAGATGCTCTTTGTTCAAGAGCAGGCCAAGGTTCAGAGCTCCCCAGTTGATTGACTGTCCAGGCAACCCGAGTTTGCGCCTGTACTGACAGAACAAGTCAAGGAAGGAGTTGGCCGCTGCATAGTTTGTTTGCGATACATTTCCCAGGAAAGCTGAGATGGAGGAGTAGCACACAAAGTAGTCTAACTGACAGTGCTGAGTTGCATGGTGCAAATTCAAGACACCACTTACTTTGGGTTTGAAAACCTTCTCGTAAAGCGATCTGTCCAGGGTCTCAATAAGGCCGTCGTGCAGGACAACTGCACTGTGAAACACCCCTCTGATTGGATAGTCACTGAATTTCTCCTTGATGACAATGAAAACTTTGTGCACATGCTCAGAGACCGACACGTCGCACTCCATGCTTGTAATGCTATTTCTACACTGTTTCTGGATGTTGAGTAGTTCTTTCTGCACATCTGGTGTTGGTTTGTTCCTGGAGAGAATGACAACAAACTCCCCACCTCTCTGAGAGATGAATTTGACTGTTTCAAAACCCAACCCAGAAAGACCACCGACCACAACGTAAACTGCTTTCTGTCTGAACAGCTGTTTTTTTCCTTGCAAAAGTGGAATATAAGACAAACTACTGTATGGTTCTTTTTCCAGAGCTATCACTTGAAGTTTTTTTGAGCTGAAATATGATGCTGGTTTCTCCGAATCAGGACTCTCGCTTTCAGGTTTCAAACTCTTATAGGTGAAGCTTTCAAGCGCAAACTTTTTGCTTAAGTGCAGAGACTTCAGCCAGTGATAAATGTGAGGACTGTGTGCTCTCAAGTATCCCTTTTGCAAAATTACTTGCATTTGAATTGTCTGTACACAAACACTTTCCTTTACATTTTGGCACAATTCCTGAGCCAACGTACTTTGCATTTGAGCTTCACAGACTACAACAACATGCCGGACTCCTGGAAAGTTGCAAGTTTTAGTAGCAAGGGATTTTTCAAATGGTGGTAGAATGACACATTCATCTACTTGACTGACATCTACAAAAGAGCCATTGCATTGTGCACCAACAATCACATTCCAACCAGATTTGTAAGCAGTTAAAGCCAATATTTGCACCAAAGCAGAATCAATATCATAGCAAAGGATCCCTAAATTTTGTTTGGCTTTAGGCAAGGCTCGATGGAGTATCTCCCATGCTAGAACAAAGTAAGAAACACAGGGTGTTTTTTGAAGGAATGGGAACCTTTTGGTGCAGTAGCATACATCTTCCGGCACTTGAATTTTGGTTGCGCACACAACAGGATAACAAGCAGCAACTTGGTCTCCAACTTTCAGTTTCCGCACATCTTTTCCAATTGCTGTAACTGTGCCGCTGAAGTCAAGAGCAAGTAATTTGTGCTTCTGAGTTGAGTATTTGTTCCAGTACAGTGTCTGGCCAAATGAGTGATGTGAGGAACTGATAGGGAAATAATCAGATGAATGAACACATATTTTACTAGTTTGAATTTCAACACTTGAGTGGCTGATTGGGTTAATCTCCTTGTCATAGGGAATGGCACACAGATGAGCTATCTTATGTGCATCAGTTGTCTGAAAGATGCAAGTTTCGGATGTTGGACAGGTGTGACTGCCCTCTTTAGTCTCAGTGATTTCTGGATGGGTGCGAACAATTGAAGGTTTCAAGATGAGCCCGTTCTTTACCACCAGCTCTGGGAACTCATTGCAAGGATATGCTCTCAGGACCTCAGACAGAGCTTTAATGTCTTGAGCAGAGACATCGTTTATGTCAATTAGTTGAAAAGACAGGTCAGGTAACTCTACAGCAAATGATCTTGTCATGCCAGTAAGAACAAAACCAGGACTTATGTGATCCACAGTGATGTCAGATGATCGGTAAGTTATAGCTCTGATTGCTTTAGAGAACTGAATTTTCTTCAGCTCAAAGATTATTTGACGAAAAATTTCACAGCAGCTTGCCAAATTCTGCAAGATGTTATTGGCCCCCTGTGATGTAAGGTCTTCTTTGCTCCACAAAAATAATACCTCATCAAAATTTTCTTTAATATTTGTGATGTTGAGCTTTGCCAGAAGAAAATGAAACCCATTACTTAAGATAGTTTTTGCATATTTGAAAGAAACTTGTGTAGATTTTGGGTCCAAATATTGTTGCAGAGCTTTCGAGATCCCCAAATTATCAGAGAAAACCAAAGCCTTTGGAGGAGAAGAGGAAGGAAAACGTTTGAGGACAACACTGAAATCATTATGGTAGAAATATTCCTCAACCACTTGAGAGCGACTGCCAAGGTACTTGATTATCACATGCTTCACCTCAACCAACACCCTGCCTTCCTTATCTGCAAAGCAGCCACAAAACTCAAAGTGATCAGTCCCTACATCAATAGCTCTTAGATAGATAATCATCTCATTTTGCAAGGGTTCAAACACTGTAAGGCTGCCTATTTTCGCAGGAAATCCTGGCTGACCAGCAAAGATGTGCTCCACTGTAACAGAGAAAAGCTGCATCAAATAATCCAATACAACAGGATGGATGTAGTAGTCATGCAAATGAGGCTGTAGCACTTCTGACACTGAAACAGCTGCAAAAGCCTCCTTTAGATCTTCCCCATAGTGCACATCTGTCTTATTCTGAAATACATCCCCATACTGGAAACCTCCTTGAGAAAGATGCCCATAAAACTCCTGAAAACTCACAACAGAAGTGCATCGCTTGTAGATGGAGTTTAATAAAATGAGCTGCTCTTCGATCAGCCTCCCTTTCTTTGAAACCACTGTGCCTGAAGCATACACTATAGATGAGGAAAATACAGTGAACCTAGTCTCGTTTTCTCTTTGTTCCAATTGAACCTTCATTTCAGGAGAGTTTTGTGTTAGAACAAATGGACTGTGAAAATTGACACTGATTTGCACTGAACTGAGGGGCACTTTTGGTTTAGCACTGGCCAAGAATGCAGCCAAACCCAACTCAGCATAGAAGGCACCAGGGATAATAGGTATGTTATTGTGCTTGTGCTCTTTTAAGTAAAAAGTGGCGTCAGACATAAGATTGCAACTGAAAATGTTGCTTTCACTTCCGGTTTGATAGACCACGGGATGACTGCTTGGTTTGTTATTCTGGGCTGCTCCGATGATAACATCTCTATCGGAGCAATCAAAATGATACCTTGGGAAGAACAATGGTGTTGTCTTGTAACGTCTGTAGACAGTGTTCCAGTTCACCTGAATGCCCAGCTCAAACAGTTTAGGAATAACAGACATGGCTGATACGTGGTCTTTCTGAGGTTCTACTGAAGCAACAACAGCTATGTTGTTTCCCAGGGTTTCTATGATATTTCTATGCAGTGCCCTTTTTGGCCCTATTTCAACAAAGACTGCAGTTTTCCTTCCTTTTGTTGCAGACTTCAAAGCCTGCTCAAAAGCCACTGGCTCACGAATGTTTCTCGCCCAGTATTGACCTGAGCAAAAATCTCCTTGCTGGAACTCCTTCCCTGTAACTGTGGAGAACAACTCTGTGTCAAGGTCATTTTCCTGCAAGGAACCAATGTTTGTTTCGATTTCTGACAGAATTGGATCCATCATGTGACTGTGGTAGGCAGTAGAGATATCTAGTAAACGGAGGAACAGATTCTGATTGTTAGCAAAGTTGATTAACTCCTTGTGAAGGCAATCAACTGCATCTGCATCACCTGAGAGTGTGCAGGATTGTGGGCTATTGGAAGCAGCAAAACCAATTCTTTGAGAGTATTTAGGGAGGAGAGAAGCTACCTTTGATATAGCCATGTTGCTGATCACAAGCATCTTCCCTCCTGTGACTTTGGTCTGAAGTGTGCTGCGGAAGTATATGACTTTTACAGCGTCCTCAAGAGACAAGAGACCAGAACAGTGAGCAGCAGCAACTTCACCAACAGAATGTCCAAGCACAGCATCGGGCTGGACACCCCAGTACCTGAGAAGGGTGGTAATACCAACCTGGATAGCAAAAAGCAAAGGTTGGACAACATCTGGATTTTTAAAGTCACTGCTTTCAATGTCACTTTCAAGTGTGCTCAGGATGTTCAGAGAGCTTCGAGTTTGGAAAAGATGTGCAATTTCTTTGATCTTTTCTCTAAATACAAGTTCACTTTGGAGCAGCTGTTTGCACATGCCATGGTAAGTGACACCATTTCCACAGAAGACAAACACTAATCTTGGAGCTAAGAGGTTTGGGATAACATTTTCATCAACAGTGACCTTTAGCTTCTCTTTAAGATCATTTACTGATGAGACTACAATGGCTTTTCTGTATTTATGCTTTTGATGGCTTCTTCTGCAAGCTGATGTGTACAACAGAGAATCTAGATCAACTTTGTTATCTGCCTCCAGCTGTTTAATGGTATCCTCAATCATCATTTTAAGGGATTTTTGGGAATTTGCTGACATGACAAAATATTTCACCTGGTTCTTGTTGATATTTTGTTGAACTCTTGACTGTAAGTGCTGTTTGACTATGGCATGTGCATTTGTCCCCCCAAACCCAAAGTTGTTCACTCCTGCAACTCTTGCAGTGGATGATTTCCATTTTTCAATTTTTATTGGAATTCTAATGTTCGGGATCTTTGTATCAATGCTAGAAGTGTCAGCTGAGTAGAAAACTGATGGAACAATGGTTTCATATCTCATCATCAGCAGAACCTTAATCAGTCCGGCCACTCCGGCTGCAGATTCGGTGTGTCCGATGTTGCTTTTCACCGAGCCTATCCACAGTGTCCCTGAACCAGGAGGTCTTGCTTTAGCAATGACGTTGGAGATGCTTTTTACCTCTGCTGAGTCTCCAACTGGCGTTCCGGTTCCATGAGCTTCTATGTACTGGACAGTTTCTATTTTATTGTCTGAATAGATTCTACGCAGCAGCTCTTCTTGTTGTGTCATGGAGGGTCTGGTGATAGGCATGACTGAGTGTCCGTCTTGGTTGACAGCAGTTTTGCAGATGATGCCCCAGATGTGGTCATGGTCTCGAAGCGCCTATCAATTAAAAACAGGTGTCACAGTAAAGACAGAATAGGTACAAGTATAGTTAGTATCTGTAAAAGTAAATAGTATACTGTTAAAAAAGGTTTTACCACCCTAAGCGGGTTTTTACCTTTCTCAGTGGTTTTAGGAGAACCACGCCACAGCCCTCCCCTCTGCCGTAACCATCTGCTCTGCTGGAAAAAGGTTTGCTCAGTCCTTCAGGTGAGATCATCTTGGCTTTGCTGAGTGCCACAAATACTCTTGGCTCAATGATGCAGTTGACGCCTCCACAAACAGCCATATCGCTATCACCTGATAAAACAAGATTATAATCTCACTCAATAGAATGTTAATGCTATATAGATGATAAATCACAAAACTGTCTTTCAGTGATTGTTTTCCACTTGTTATTGGTCAAAGCATCATTGAATTCATAGTAGAAATGTTTTTCTGACCTTGTTTAATGGACTGGCAGGCAAGATGAAGGGCAACAAGTGATGATGAACAGGCAGAGTCAATAGACAGTGAAGGTCCAGTAAAGTTAAAGATGTAGGAGACTCTGTTTGCTGCAATGCTCATAGCGAGCCCAGTTCCAGTCCAATGGTTAATCACACTGGGATGCACATGTGCTGCGTTTGTTTCATAATCTCTGTTCATCATGCCTGAAAAATGGGTGGGAAATGTACTAAATAATTCTAATTTAGAGTTTTAATATACAATTTGGCAACATGTTTGATTTAAACTTTGGCTTTAGGACAAGCAAATATTTATGTAAATTTGAATTTGACCAGCTCAAAACTAAAGCTACAGCAACCTGAAACACATCTTACCAATAAACACTCCTGTCCTGGTTCCACTGGCTTTCTCCATTGGAATTCCAGCATTTTCTAAAGCTCTGTAAACACACTGAAGGAGCTGTTTTTGTTGTGGATCCATTTGTTCCACCTCACTGTCACTGATGCCAAAAAACTTGTGGTCAAATTCATTAAACCTGTACACACATACAAAACCAAAGAGTTACTGATTTGTGCAAAAGTTTTAACTCTTCATTAATTTGTCAATAGGAGCCAAACGTTTTTGCTCTTCAGCTCTTAGAGGGTTCTGATGGTCTTCCAAAGTTTTGAGTAATTTTGCTGCTTCTGTGCTCATTTTCTGTCTCTATAACTAACTGGGACTACATACAGGGGCGCAACTACATATTTTTGAGGTGGATGCGAACACATCATCGGCGCCCCCCCCACCCGCTCCTTTTTACTTGCCGCCTCATACAGCTTAGTCATGCACTTAGAAAATACAGTAGTAATATTACAGATTTTTTTAATGTTACATATTATATCAGGTGATCATTTCAATCATAAACAAATAAGAAGTTTTATAAAGTACAAATATATAACAGTAGTGGTACTCAGTCAGTGCTCAACATTTTATGTAGCGGAAATATGACATCTTAACAGCCTGGAGTCCATGTCAGAGTTTTAACATTTATGACATTTAAACTGTTACATTCCGTGACTTTGCATTTGCCCATTTGTCAAGTATAACATCAAATGAAATAGACCGTGCCACACTGTTTTCAATAGAGATCACTGCTAACTGGGACAAGCGATCATTGCTCATATTTGAACGAAGGTATGTTTTGATGAGCTTCAGCTTGCTAAATGATCTCTCTGCAGATGCAACTGTCAGAGGCATGGTTAAAAATACTCTAAGGGCTACTGTCAAATTTGGAAATACCAAATCAAGGTCCTCTTGAATTAGGAAATTTAACTTTTCTAGAGCCTTGTAACCCTTCAGTAGACGGCTTGCTGGGTATATTTCTTGAATGATATCTCTTGAAACATCACAAGTGGTCAGGGCATATGTGGTCACTGATTCCTCCAGCTCAGCTTTTGTCATGTGCTCCATTTTAGTGATGAATTTAAATTTCTCAGACACAAGTTGAAAATTGGAAAACCTCTCAGACAGCTCTTGGAGGAGTGTGTCAACAATAACATTGAAAACCATGCACCTGAAGTGCCTTGTGGGTTCCTTTTCATGATGACCAGTGCATGAATTGTCATCTGGGAAATTCTTTTGCTTCCTAAGTCGTTTCTCTTTGAACTTAGGAGAAGCATCCATTTCGATGGCTATTTTGCTTGCAATGTCAAGTGACTTCCTTTTTCTGTTTTGCGCCCCGGATAGCTTTTTTTTCTGCCGCTCCATCTTGTTGTCAAGTGCACAACGAGCGGTAGTTCAAGATTAAAAAAAAAAACAAAAACGCGCCGAGTGCGTTCTCTTAGGGGCGTGTTCACAGCCACCTGTGTGGGAAGGGAGAGCGATAGGAGGGGAGGTGAAGGAGCAGAGGGGAGGTGAAGGAGCAGAGGGGAGGTGAAGGAGCAGAGGGGCGCCTAATCAGTGCTGTTCCCCTGTTATTGATCATTTAGAAAATGCCTACTAGAAAAACATTTTTTCTACAGAGGGTTTTGACGCCCCCTGCAGTGCAGCGCCCCTATGCGTTGCATACGCTGCATACCCGCTTTTTGCGCCACTGACTACATACTGTGCAGTTTCTGCTTTAAAAAAATTGACAGCTATAATAGAAGGGTCAGGCCTATAACACATGTTCAAAACTGAACTCACGACTTCTAAATATTATAACTTGAGTTATTAGAGATCAAAGCAGCAGCAAGTCCAAGGTAAATCAGCTCAGGCAAAGAGAAAATGTTCTCTAATAAAATAAATAAATGGTTCCTATGAAACCATTTAATCTTCATTAGTGTGCTCCAGTTTTTATATTTTTTTGAAGTTATATATATATATATATATATATATATATATATATAGAAAAGATCATGTTCTAAAAATTGCATTCATATCTATAGGTTATTTATTCATTAAATATAAAATAACATAATCTGGAGTTTTTTGTGAAGAGGTTTGGGTACAATATGCTAGTTAAAACTAAATGCAACTGTCACGATAACAAATTTTGCTGGGCGATTAATTGTCTCAGAAATTATTGGGATAAACGATAATATTGTTTGAAATTTAACAATAATTAGTAATTATTGTTAAATTTAAGAAGAAATGTTTGTTAAATTGTTTTGCATCTAGTACCTTCTTTTGACCACTGGATGGCAGTATAAGACTGTTTGAATCAAAGGATGGATAGTGAGGGAGCAAGTAGCGTGTCTCTAAGAAAAATGGGAGGGAGGCCCCTTGTGACATGGGCTGTCTCTCTTTGGTTCTCAAAATGGTGGACGCTCGGTGTGGTTTGAGCTCTTTAGCATAGCATTTTTCACACACACACACACACGCACGCACGCACGCACGCACGCACGCACGCACACACACACACACACAAAATCAGTAAACAAGTTCTCAGCTTCGTTTTGCAGAGAAAAACTTTTTACACGAAGGCACGGTTTTCAATTGTGGTTTTTGGAGCTTCGACAAGACGGAGTTTTTTCTCCCAAGGTCGGCCTGTTAGCTTAGCTCGTAGCTTACATTCTCAGCATAGTACTAGAAAGAGAGAGACACGATGAAACGATAAAGCGATAAATGAAAATGAGGTAGATAATTTTCATTTATCATGCAATTAATTGATATATTGTTTATTGCGACAGGCCTAAATGCAACAATTAACTATAACTGCAAGCACTGAGGTCCAAGCTACTTGATGCATGTCAACCATGTCTAATCTCATTCCCAGCTTCCTGTTAACCTTCTGTACTAAAGACTTGTAACTAACTGGGGAGAAAATATAAGGTCTAAATAACGACCTAAATCTCATAATTTCTGCCAATGTCTAAATATTCTTTCCACTTCTTTAAGTTGTTCAATATTCAAGGGTCTCCACAGTGTGTCATCCTCCTCCATCCCCCTCTGTCCTCACTCCAACTACCTCCATGTCCTCTCTAACTGCATCCACATATCTCCTCTATCTTTTTCCTGGCAGCTGCATTTCTAACATCCTTCTACCAGTATACCCACTGTCCCTCCTCTGGACTTGTCCAAACCATCTCAGTCTGGCCTCTCTAACTTTATCTCCCAGTTGTTCCACCTGTGCTGTACCTCTGATGATCTCATTCCTAATTTTATCCATCCTTATCACTCCCAAGGAGAACCTCAACATCTTCAGCTCTGTCACTTCCAGTTCTCTTTCCTGTTTTCTCAGTGCAACTCACGTCACATCACAGATGAGTCATCCTCCAGTGCAACTGCTCATTCCATCTGCTGTTGGTTTGTTTGCGTGAGAGAGCTCTGTTTTTTTTTGTTTTTTTTGAGTAGTGGCTGAATGGTTAGAGCAGTCATCCTTCAATGGGAGGGTTAGCGGTTTGATTCCATCAACAGTCCCATGTTGAAGTGTCCCTGAACCCCTCATTGCCTCTGATGTGTGTCCTATCGGTGTATGTGATCTAAAACACTGATTATTCTCTATAGAATGATTTATTCAATTAGTTTTGTAGAGATGTCATAGAGTATTGTAGTAAATAATGGATTGATGGATGAAAAAAGAAAAGGAATAAAAAATAAAATAAAAAAACATAGATACAAATGCTGCTGCCCTGCCTCATTAAACACACTTTAATGTAGGGATAGGGGATGGGGGGAAGGGTTGCTATGAACACTCTGGTTATGAAAACACATAAGCGGTCACATTTCTAATAAGGTTTTGATAAAGTTCAAAGCCAGTACCCATCAATGAGAGCAGCCTTGGCCGTCCGGGATTTACCCGGCTTGGTTTCATCGGAGTCATACCAGCTGGAAATGTCAAACCTCTCTCTGGGGATCAGTTCACAGCAGTTTCTCCCATCAACAAGAACACTCCAGAAGTTGTCAAGACCTTCCCCTGTTGATATAAAAAAGCTTAGTTATGCTGATAGTTTAAATAAAAATAATAAAGGATTAAATATAAATTCAGCTTGAGTAATATTACAAAGAAGCTAATGAGCTTCAAATGACCAAAATGGCTACAACTCTGTCCTTTCTTAATCTGAGCTTTGCTTAAAATGTAAACCTTAAGGTGGCCAGCAATGCAAATGTAATTAATTAATTAATTAATTACATTTTTTATATAAATTAAAATGTGCGTTTCTGAAGAGGATTTTTGACTCCAAAGCAGTCAAAAAGTTTGGGAATCATTCAGTTTGATCATTTTATCATTGTTACAAGTTATTATTATCTTATGTTAAATTGTTGGTATCATTGTGTGAAACTTCATTTTAATGTAACTAAATTATGTAATAAGTGAACACTTTTTTTTGCTTAAAAAAAGGAATCAGTATCTTATAAAGTGCAAAAATTGAATTAAAAAAAAAAGGAAAAGCTATGTTAAATTTTGAAACCGTAAAACAAACTGTGATTCAAGCAACCACTTTCATTTTTTCTTTTACTAATAATCACTAATCAGTTTAGAAGCAGGCTCTTCATCATTTATGATACTTAAACCTGCATAAACTTGATGTCATCTACTTTATTGCATGAGGCAGAAAAAGCCACAACAAAAAGCACTGCTCCAAAATTCTTCCCACCTCCTGGAAAATTGCACCCGATTCCCACCACAGCAATCCCGTCCTCTGCCTCTTCCATCCTGATGGAACAGAAAACATCAGTTGTGTCAGCATCTCTTCCATCCACCACCCCAAAAACAAAAAAAACAAACAAAAAAAAAACCCAAAGCTCTACTTGTGTTTGAACTCACCTCTAAAGTGTGTTTAGTCCAGTTTAGTGACGCTCCGGTGCATCTTTACATCCATCCCTCTCACAGCTTCTCTCAGATGTTATCAGTGCCAGACTCACAGCTGATTCTTATAGGCCGCTTCTTTTGCGTATTAAACATTCATGACTGAGTGTATGCGTCACCATGGAGACGGAGGACTCCAGTGCACACATATACAGCATCTTGCAAATGATTAGGCCAAGTTATCAATCGAGCGTTAAACGTTATCAGATAATCGGGTTTAACCTAAATAAATAAACTCATTAGCCCACATATTCCTACTTTCTTGTACTTTGTTTTGAAAAAAATATATATTTTTAAGATTTTGTTTACAACCAGTAAAAACTGAGTAGGTCAAATCATTATTGCGACTGGACGAAAAGCAAATACAAACAATAACGTTTTTGCCTGTGCTTGTCTGTTAGTAAAATATCTCATGAACCACTGGACAGATTCTAATGAAACTTTCAGAAGGTAATCTCTGAACTTACATCAACAGCTGATTAACATCTGGAGTCAAGCTAATTGAAGATGGCTACCACAGCCAACTAACCTTAAAAACACAAAAGTGGCTCTAACTCAGTCACTTTTACAGATTTTGACCTAAAACGTGGTGTGGTAGTAGCTGAGGCTGACTCCCCACACATCCTATGAGCACTAACAGATGTTGCAGGATCTATTTTTAAAAGTTTACCATAAACTAATTGGAGTAAACTTTGTCTGTTAGCAAAATATCTCACAAGTCACTGAATGGATTTTATTGAAACTTTCAGGAAATAAACCCCTGGATGTACAGCTACAACCAACTAACATTTGGTGCAAATCCAAGTCAAAATCGCAACTACAGCTAACTGACTTTTGGAAAAACAAAAATAGCTATATTCAGTCAAACTGGCAGATATTGTGTTTAAATGTGATGTAGTTGTCGCTGGTAATTGTTTACAACTCATCCACTGAGCTATCCATAAAACTATAGCACTAACTAGTGGAGTCAACCCTGTCTGTTAGCAAAATAACTCAAAAACCACTGGATCAATTGTAATGAAACAATCAGAAATGAATAATTCTCACACTTCTACAACTTATTACTTTTTGGAGCCAGTTCAATTCAAGATGGCCACTACAACCAATGGACATTAACAGAAAAAAAAAATACATTGTATATCATCCATCCATCCATTTTCTTTACCCGCTTATTCCATTTTGGGTCACGGGGGTCGCTGGTGCCCATGTCCAGCAATCACTGTGCGAGGGGCGGGGTACACCCTGGACGGGTCGCAAGTCCATCACATTGTATATCAGTAAGTTTTAAATATTGTGGTGTTGTAGCTGGACGTGTTTCACCTCACATACGGTCAGTCAAATATTTCAACATTGCATGTGACTGCACATTTCTTCATAGTTTGAACAAATTAGTTCCAACTCTGTCATTATGCATTACTATCTTTATTTTAATAAGTTTGAAAATATGGAGGGAATTTAGAAATTTACTGGTTTTACCAAGAAAAAGTATTCAGTAGTTTGTGTTTTAATGGTTTTTCTTTATGATACAACTGCCATGGCCCAAAACTTTAACTCCCTTTTCAATACTGTTTGAAAAAGTAATTAAGTATATTACTGTAACTATAAAGGGTTAATGTAACACTGCAACTTCAATTTACCTCACAATTTAGGCACTGACAGCAAGTTAGACACTTGAAAAAATGCAAAAATTAGATTTTTAAAAAATAATGATAGTAAACAGTAAACACATTTAGACCCTTTCAGTTGTTGTACACCTTGTATTGTTCCAAGATTAATTTGTTGTATAAAATATGATCCTGATCCGTATATACCGTACTTTTTGCTGTATAAGTTGCACCTTTTTGCATAAATTAGCATGCCCTGCAACTTATACAGCAAAGCGACTTATTTATGTATAAATAAGTCATAATATAGATAAGATATATAGCTTATATATCTTCTATTTTATATCACCAATATATCTTGGTGCAAGATTTGATTCTCATCTTACATTTGAATCTCATATTAAAAATATTTACAAGACTTCATCCTTTCATCAGAAAAACATCTCCAAGCTCCGTCCATTACTCTCCTTTTCCGATGCTGAAAAACTTGTCCATGCTTTCGTCTCCTCAAGACTGGACTACTGCAATGCACTTTTTTATGGAATTTCATCCAAACACTTCTAAAACTTCAGTATGTACAGAACAGTGCAGACAGGATTCTGATGAAGCAAAGGAAACATGATCACATCACCCCAATCCTTAAATCCCTCCACTGCCATTTCACTCCTAATTGAATACGAGGTTTCCTTACTCACCCTCTAATCCATTCACGGCAATGCTCCATACTACCTTAAAGAACTGCTCAGACATTAATACCATCCCTCTGCTCCACAAATTCCTACCAGCTCTGCCCTCCCTGGACAAAACTGTGCATCATGGGTGCATTGCTCTTGCCGAGGTTGGACGCTTTTCCCCTCCTCTCCCTCTCCGCTTTGTTTTGCTGCTCTGTTGTCTGTGAAACTGCTTCTCAGCCTCTCTTGCATTTCTTCCAAACCATAATTATGGACTTGTTTTGATCAGTTGGTCCCTCAACCCAATTGATAACATTTCTATGAAGAGATGACAGGCTTTAGGCTAGCCGATTTGCCCTGTTGGCACGCACGCAGCTGGATATCTCATCAACTTGGAAGACTTGATGATGTGTCTATCTCTGCTGCCATTTGTGGATTTTAAGGACACATATTTGATTGGATTTATGACAACTGGTTCCTGCATTTTGGATTCGGCTGGTTGCTGGTTTTATCTACAATCAAGGAAGTTGTCAACAGCAAATTTGGACTTGATCACGCTGCTTGCTTTTATGATGGCTTGGTTCATGCCTCGAGTACCCGGACTCAAATGCTTTGGTCAGAATGGATCATATCTCTGGGATTTTACTCAGTCACGTTCCATCGGTGTGGCCATGTAATTTGGACATTTCGGAACCGTTTGGACCAACACAGACTCAAGGTAGATGTCATTAAGTTCTGCCTGTCCCCAAAACAACTGTGTTTATCTGAATTTGGCTCCCCTGGCTGGCCTTGAAGGCCATCTTATCTGAATTTGCCTGGAGAACATGTGATCTGACGCTCTGCCCCGACCCCTCCCATCGAGGAATTTCCAACTGATCAACCAGAGGAAACCAGCTGAATAAACATTGTGTCATCATTTCAGGACTCTTGGATTCCCATAGGCGTTGTCCTTGGCCATTCCCCGACAGAATAATGGATATGGATCTCACCGGAGGGGAACTAGTTGATTATTCCATCTTTATCAGAACTCTTACAGTGTCCTCGAGAGCGTCCAAGGACATTGCTCACCGCTCTCGTCGTCACAGTCAGTGAGGATCCACAACTTCTCCTCCTCCACCATAACCCTCAGAACTGGCTCTCCTCAGGGATGTGTGTTGAGCTCCCTCCTGTTTACTCTGCTCACATATGATTGTGCAGCTACCCATCCAGGCTGTCACATTGTAAAGTTTGCAGATGATACAGCGGTGGTGGGATGCATCACAAACGATGATGAGTCCAGCTACATGCAAGAGGTGGAACACCTGGAGAGCTGGTGCAAAGAGAATAACCTTCACATCAATGTGAAGACAAAGTAGATGATTGTGGACTTCAGAAGGAACAAAAACACCTACACCTCCCTGAACATAAGAGGATCTGTGGTGGAAGTGGTCTCCAGTTACAAATACTTGGGTGTACACATGAATGACAACCTCAGCTGGAGCAACACTACCACCAGCCTGATCAAGAAAGCTCATCAGAGACTCTACTTCCTCAGACGACTGAGACGAGCTGGTCTGGGAAGCTCAGTCCTCACCTCCTTCTACAGGTGTGCAGTGGAGAGCATCCTGTGCTCCAGCATCAACATGTGGCATGGAGGCTGCACAGCTGCAGAAAGAAAGGTTTTACAGAGAGTAGTGAAGGCTGCACAGAAGACTGTCGGAGTCAGCTTCCCCACCATCACAAACATCTACACCTCTAGATGCAGGAAGAGAGCCACCTGCATCATGAAGGACCCCACTTACCCAGCACACACACACTTTTTGCTCCACTCCCCTCAGGAAGGAGGTTGAGGAGCATTAAGTGTACAACCACTAGACTGAGGAACAGCTTCTACCGAGGCCGTTACAGACTCATGAATCTCTAACCAGAATAATCACTGTGAAAAAATTACATCGTGTTGCTGCTCATCTGTTTCATGTTGTTGCTGATCTGTTTCAATGTTGATGTGTTCATGCATGCTCATCTGCTTACACAGACTCATGTTTGTGCTGATGTTCGACATAATGTTTTTATGTTATTAGTGCTTAGTTTATATTTAGTGGATGTTTTTCTTAGTTCATATCTTAGATGTTATTACTGTTTTTCTTTTACATTTTATTGTTGGATGTAACTGGGACCCTGTGTACATAATTTCACTCCACCACATGTACCACACGAGGTGCAAATGACAATAAAGAAACTCTGACTCTGATACAGCAGTGTGACATGTATGGCGGAAAGTACGGTACCCATAAACAAGTTAGACATACTTTGGAATTTGAAAACAGATTTATTGAATTTGTATAAAAGTATTTAGAACGTCAGAGGTAGCAAAGAGCTCCTTCAGGTGGGGTTGGCTACCCTCAGGAGCACAACAGTACACAATAATATGGATCAACAGAGGAACAAAAGACGCATTTTATAAACTGCAGATTCGTGTGTTTCATCATTTTAAATAAATGCGTACTGTCGTTAATCAAAGAGAAGCGCACAGAAGGCAGAACGGCTCAGCGCTAGTTTCCTGTCAGAGAAATGTACAAAAAGACTTCAGTTACTTCCTCTACAGAAGCATGAAAACGTATCCAAACTGACAAAAAGGTCTTACAAACTTATTTTCATGAGTCAAACTAAGTATGTAAAACACCAATTTAAACAGGAACTCCTGGAGGAATAGGTTTTGCAACAGGAAGTACTTGTATATGAAAAAACAAACCATTTCCTTTCAGGTAGTGTTTGTGAAATAAGAGAAACTTGCACAAGTTAGTGAACTGAAAGTCTGAAGGTTCTGTTTCTTGACGTTTCACTCCCACGATATGGAGAGCAGTCGACAGCTCAGCTCCCACAGCTTCTGCGCCAGCTCGTCATTTTTCCCCGCAGCGGAGCAGTTGGCAGGAGCGCAGTCACTGAAAGAACCAAGAGTTCAGCATGTAACTGTTTCATGTGATAAAACCCAGTGCAGAAGTCATGACTCATTTGCTGCCCACCGTCCTGTTCACCTGTTTTGATTACCTGTAATAGCCACCGCTCTCTTTCTCCAGCGATGGTTCCACGGCACAGTAAATTGTAGTTTGAGCTCCTTGGACAGAGTTTTTGGTGAAAGGCTTGGCTATTTTTATGAAGAACCTCTCTGGGCTGCTCAGATGGCGCCACAAGTCTGTCTGCACGACTCCGGGATGGAGCGAGTACGTCGTCACGCCTGTGCCTGGACAAGAACACGTGACATGGTCAAGAATTAAGTCATATTTGGTTAAACTAACACACACATTTTCATATTTCTGTCTCTTTAAGCTACAGTTTTGACACCCAATATAATTTATGGCTTATTTTGTTATGCTAATCAAGATAACCCCTAGAAAATCTGTCGGAATCAAACTCAGCTTTTTCTAATGAGGAGCTCTTGACATAATTTGAAAGAGCAAACCTCAAACCATTTTGGGGTATTGGGATTTCCCATCTGGTCCTGAAAACAGCTTAGCTAGCACACGGATAAAAAAAAATTCAAGGTTTTCTTCTCGAAATGAAGGGCAGCACGGTGGCGCAACTGGTAGAGCTGCTGCCTCTCAGCGAGCAGGTCCTTGGTTCAAACCCCGGTCCAGGGGCCTTTCTGGGTGGAGTTTGCATGTTCTTTCCGTGCATGCGTGGGTTTTCTCCGGGTACTCTGGTTTCCTCCCACAGTCCAAAAACATGCATGTTAGGCTGATTGGTAACTCTAAATTGTCCCTAGGTGTGAATGAGAGAGTGAATGGTTGTTTGTCTCGTTTGTCTCTATGTGGCCCTGTGATGGACTTGCGACCCATCCAGGGTGTACCCCGCCCCTCGCACAGTGATTGCTGGACATGGACACCAGTGACCCCCGTGACCCGTGACAAAAGGTAAGACGTTGGTTACGTACTGTAACCCCAGATTCTATGAGTATAGGCGTAGCCCTTTAAGGCTGTCGCTGGTGGGTTTATCCCGTCATGCAAAGCATCGCACTGAAAAAATTAATCCACGCTCACCTGTTGTGTGGGCCCCACCCGGTCTGTATAAATTACGTTAAGAGCAGGTAATCGGCTCCCAAATAGCTTTTTTCCTTCAGCCATTTAGGAGCCAGTGAGGCTTGACGATTAAAGGGCTACGCCTATACTCATAGAATCTGGGGTTACAGTACGTAACCAATGTTCTATTTTGTATAGGCTTCGCCCTTTAAGGCTGTCGCTGATGGGTTAAGGGCAAAGCAGATGTAGTCTCTACCTCACTGGGTCCATTCGAACACCACAAGAAGCGCCCGCTTGCCCCCCCAAAAAACATCTTGTCACTCAGCTCTCCATGTGCATAAATACGCGTTGCGTAATTACGTGCACCATGCACAGACGCGCACTGCATGCGTTCCGAGTGCATGAACGCCCCGGAAAGGTTTTCAAAGGAAAAGAGGAGAGGCTGAAAAAGGCCGTGAACAGAGCAGATCCACGGCTCTTCAATATGAACATAATAATAATAAATTAACTGATTATTAATCAAATGAACTGATTGGTGACCACAGAACAAGAACAACAGTCATAACCTGTGACTGATAACATCTCACACTGTAATGCATGCAGTCAGATGTGAGTTTAAACGAGACTCCATGAAACAATAATATTGATTCTGTTAAGGCACCAAGGACAGAACGTGTCATGGAACAAGCCGACACATCACGTAAATAAAAGCGAATAAATGAACAGGGTGTTGACCACGCGGCCGCAGTGCAAATATCCTGCATTGACATATCATTACGCAAAGCAGTCGAAGATGTGATACCTCTGGTCGAGTGCGCCCTGAGGTTGTCAGGAGGCTCTAAATCTGATGCTCTGTAGGCTTCAGAAATGGCCTCACACAGCCAGTGTGACAGGCGCTGGGTGGATAACGGGCGACCTGCAGATGTGTCTCTATAGTGCAGGAATAAATGTTGAGTCTGACGCAGTGCTGCCGTGCGTGCTACGTAACAAGTCAACACACATTCTGATTTGTGGGGAGGAGGGAAAAATCCCTCCAACGAGATCGCTCTTGATTTAAATGAGCTTGTGATGTTTTTAGGCATAAACGCTGGGTTAGGCCTCAGATCAGCTGAGCTGCCATCAGCCTGAATTCTGAGACATGACGGAGCGACAGAGAGGGCAGATAAATCACTTACCCTCTTAGCGGATGTTAAAGCCAACAGCAGGGCTGTTTTAAAAGACAAGAATTTAATCTGAACCTGATCTAGTGGCTCAAATGGAGCTTTGATCAGGGCTCGCAGAACCAGCGTTAAATCTCACTGTGGAGAAAATGGGCGTGAAACAGGCCTGCGTCTCTGTACACCTTTTAAAAAACGTTTCATCAGCGGATGATTAAAAGCTGTTCTGTCCCCGAAACCTTCATGACAAGAAGAAATGGCTGCAGCATACGTTTTAAATCGTGCTGAACGCCAGATTTCTGTTCATCAGCTGCTGTAGAAAGAACAGCACACCACCTAGTGGACATAAGGTGGCCTCTACACCTTTCTCCGTACACCAGCACTGAAAAAACTATCCACTTTGATGTGTACAGCGCCGTGGTGGAGGCAGCACATGAATCCTGGATCATGCGCACTACATCTTGGGAGAAACCCATCCTCTCTAAACGGATCCGCTCAGCGGCCAGACCCAAAGGTGCTGGCCTATTTTTGGGTAACTCCTGATTGCTCCTCCCGCCTGGAGGAGAGCATCCTCCCTCCACGGCAGTTTCCACGGGCGCCCCGATAACAGGCGTCGTAGAATTGGGAACCATGGGGCGTTCACGTGCTCTGGAGCCACCAGGAGGGCTGTCAGTTCCTCCTCCTGAACTCTGTTCGGAAACCGTGATATCAGAGGGAGTGGGAGAAATTCGTAAAAAAGCATTTTGGGCCACGGGCTGTGAGCAAACGCATCCACCCCTAGTGGTCGTTCGTCTCGCGGGCTCAGTGAGAACCATAGTTGACAATGAGCGTTCTCTCGTGTTGCAAACAGGTCCATGGACGCTTTGCCAAATTTCTGCCATGTCTGAGCTAGGGCATTAACAGAGTACTCGAGTAATCTACACATCGATTGTTAGGACATCTATCGAGGTTAAAAATGTTACGTCGAGTATCCGTGGTGACGTCATATTATGTGACCACCGTATGACCGTAGGGGGCGGTGTTGCACTGTTGCAGGTCACACTGGGTCCAATCCACCGAACCAGAACCAGTTTCGGTTTAAGTTTCGTTTTTGACGTGCTGCATGTTTCTTCACGTTTGCAGTTTAATAATAATAACTAATAGTTTAGTTTTTCCTGTGACTTATTTGCAGTATGATAAATGGTAGGAGCATAATATACGCTCCCAATGTTTTGTTGGTCTTTTTTTGTAAATAATTACCTTTTTTGCGGTTTTATTTATTTATTTTTGTATCTAGAGATCTATGATGTCATCAAATACTCGAGTTCTACTCGGGTTTTATTATGTTAATGTCGAGTTTAAAAATGATATACTCGTTCAACCCCTAGTCTGAGCCAACAGCTCTGGATGGAGGGGTGGGGGGGTTTGGGGGGTGTAGGAGTGCAGCTTGATCAGATGGCGCACAGTCTCCAACACCTCCTCCGACTTCTTCGAGTTCTTGAGCATGGCCTTGAAGTTGGCTCTGAACAGCGCATGCGTCGTGATGGGGCCCTCCAACAAGTCCTTCTGCAGCTTCTCTGGCAGGGAGGGGAAGTGACGGAGCCAGGTGGACCTCTGAACCATTGTCATCCAGGCTGCGATGCGAGACAGACAGACTGCAGAAGAGGCGCACAGGTTCAGGATGACATCAGACACCTTGCAGAGGGAGTTCTTCGTCTCCTCAGGCAGGTCTGTTCCCTCCAGCCTCTTTGAAATGCTGTATGCTAGCAGCGCAACATTATTGTTCGCTGCGGCCGTCTGGAACGCACACTGGTGAGCTCGGTTGGAGAGCGACGTCACCGTCTGATCATGCTTCTCCGGAGGCACAGGACGCTGCTTGCCTCTGCCTCTCCTCCAGGGGGAGGTGGTCACAGAGGTGGCAGGAGGAGGCGAGGTCGGCATGGCGGGGACCTAGGCATCCTTCGCAGATGTCGTGCCGGTAAAAACTCAGTATGTAGCCGGTCTTGCAGGACGGACACAGGCGAATGACATTGGTGCTGGACATCGTCTAGTTGAAGCTTAGTGCTATACGCTTGCTGAAGAAAAATGGGAGCCAATTACCCGCTCTTAAGTAATTTATACGGACCGGGTGGAGCCCACAAAACAGGTGGGCGTGGACTAATTTTTTCAGTGCGATGCTTTGCATGACGGGATAAACCCACCAGCGACAGCCTTAAAGGGCGAAGCCTATACGAAATAGAACATGTATTCATCATATTTTGACCAAATCCAAATATTGCTAATTTTTGCACCAAAACACAAACAAAATAAAAAATGTGTGTACTGCATACGGCACATTCTACGCTTGTCAACAAACTACCGGTATTATACAGCAATCTAAAGCATTGGCCCAGACAAGCAAACACCTTCCATAACATCTGACCTTGATTTGGGACTTTGACCTTGGAGCTGGGTGTGATGAAAAGAATCAGAATCAGAATAAACTTTATCATCATTGCACCGAGATACAATGAGAACATGTACGTACAGTCGTCCAAAAGATGGGCGGAGTGCACAAAGCTGCTACTATAAATAGCGCAGCCCTCTTATTCTTATTAAGAATAATATTTTGCTTAGATGAGAAAAGCGAAGAAAACATGAGGAGAGACGGTATAAAAAAAGATCTCACGCCGTGTTCTAGACAGGGCACGATTTGAGGCATCAAAAAACCTACCACAGTAAAGCAACATAAATAGATGTTATACATGTACATATAGGCCGGTGAAGACATTGAATTTTTAAGGGAAAGTCGTAGCATAGTCCAGAGCCCCCCCTCTCAGCCATTGTCCAGATAAGAGGTGTCATTCATCATCAGCTCGGTTGAGGTTCTGTCACATGTCCACGACCTTGGGGAAGGGAGGGGTGAGGAGACAGACAAAGCGTCTTTGTTTTTTCAAAACATTCCAGGAGGGATTGAGATAAGTCCAACGTCAAGGCCACAGTTTGGGTCAGGCAGAACTCTTAAATTGTTGTTTCTGCCCTTTTAAAGTCTCGCTGGTATATATCCTCTGATGGAACTCCAAAACAGCTGAATTGATCCTTTACGCCATAAGTCGAGCTCACGGCTTCTCCAAGATTATTTCCACCATTCATGGGGGCTGCCAGAAAGTTCACAGTCCTGATAACAGCTGCTCCAGCTCCCTGCTGCAGCTCCCCAAATTCTGTCTGAGTGCTGTCGAGTTTTGACACATCCACACAAATTTATAGACAATCCAGAATTCACCGGCCAAACAGCAAAATAACCAGTTTGTCATCATGAATCCAATTTGTTTCTGTCGAGGTAAGAGGGTCCTCCTTATGCCCTGACTCCTGTCGGGAGAAGTTGATCAATTTTGTTGAGAGACCAGCTGATCCTTCGAATTGAGAGGTATGCAGAAAATAAAAGAAGCTCAAGGGTTCACAGGACAAAAGAGTGCAAGCAGGAAAGCATGGGGGGAGGGGGGGAGACCACGGAGACACGTCTGGTTTCACCAGAGGACAGAGAAAGAAAAAAAAAATGTGTATATGACACTCCATCTAGTGATGATGTATGTGTATTAAGTTTCATTAAATCGTCTTGAGTGGGTCAGAAGTTATGGGTGGGACAAGAAAAGGTTTACAGACGATGGAGATTATACCATATTATGCTGTCTTTGACAGGCGTTATAAAACATACAAAATACAAAAGCAATGCACGATAACCGTCTTATTTCACTACAATATCTTGTGACTTAATTCTCAGTTCTGAGGCAAGTTGCAGAAATGTGGTTAACAACGGACGTAAGCATGAATAAATGAACTTTGCATGTGACAATAAAGCAAAAAAGCGTACAATGAGCAGCATCCTCCTTTTTTAACTACTCTGTTTAAAGTGTCTAAAAATGAGGAAAATGGGGCATTTAAAGTTGTAACTAGAGAAACTGCATTTCCTCTGAAAATGCAGTGTGAATGTTTATTGCAGAACAACTTGCTGAAAAACAGCTGAAATTAGTTAAAAAAAAAACCCCCACACACAATCTGAAATGTAGCTGAAATGAAAGAACCTAAGGTAGCAGATGAAAGCAGAAAGAACACACATTTGCTGAATTAGGTTTAAAAAAGGCAGAAAAATTAGGTATTTAGCTAAAAAAAAAAGGCTGAAATTAGGAAGAAATAGCTGAAAAGTAGCTGAAACGGCAGAAAAAAGCTGAACTTACCAGAAGGAAGTAGAGAGAGCACAATTGCGGCCCATTAGGCTGAAAGAAGCAGAAATGTGTGCAAAAAGTGGAAGTTATCTGAAAAAAGCACAAGTTTCCCTCGAAACAGCTGAATCTTAGCTTAAGAAGCAGAACAAAGCTTAAATTGGCAGAAGGAAACAGAAAGAACACATATTTGCTCAATTAGGTTTAAATAGGCAGACATTAGCACAAAAATCAGGAATTTAACTAAAAATGCTGAAATTAGCAAAATAAAAAAGCTGAAAAGTAGCCAAAAGGCAGAAAGAAAATTAAATTGCCGGAAAGAAGTAGAGAGAGCACAGTTTTACCGAATTAGGTTGAAAAAAGTTTTAGTGAGTAGAAAAAAGGTGGAATTAATTAGCTGAAAAAGCCAAAATTAGCATAAAACAGCTAAATAGTAGCTGAAATAAGATGAAAGGAGCATAACAAGCTGAAATTAGCAAAAAATATTTAATTAGGCCATTAGCAGAAGAAATCAGAAAGAACACGTTTGCCCAATTAGGTTTAAAGAAGCAGACATGAACACAAAAAAAATTGAGATTATCTGAAAAAAGCTGAAATGAGCAAAAAAAATGCTGAAAAGTACTGGTAGCTAAAAAAGCAGAAAGAAGCTTAAATTACCAGAAGGAAGTGGAGAGAGCAAATTTTAGCTGAATTAAGCTAAAAAAAGTTTAAATGAGTACAAAAAATGTTGAATTAGCCAAAAAAAAGCTAAAATTAGCATAAAAACAACTAAATAGTAGCTTAAATAGCAGAAAAAGCTGAAACTTGCATAAATAAGCTGAAAAGAGCATAACAAGCTTAAATTAGCAGAAAGAAGAACAAAAAGAGGGGTAGTTAACAGAAATAATCTAAAAAGGATCACAAAACAGCTGAAAAACAGCTGAAATGAGCTGAAAGTAGCTGAAAAAAGTTTAATTTTGCACAAGTAAGCTGAAAGAAGCTGAACCAAAACAAAATGTGAAAGGAGCAGTAAAAGGTTGCAAACAGATCTAAAGATAAGAAGGACAGAAAATGAGCTCAATTCATTTTCTACTAGAAAAAGTGCCAGGAAATGCTAAATATTTAAAGAAGCTAAAGTTGCACCCACAATAATAGTCATAGTGCCCTTCTCCTGATTTGTTGAAATAACACAAAAACTGGAACAAGAATAATGCTGAAAAACATACAGAAGAAAAATGGATCACAATAGTGTGAATGCTCCAGAAACATTCACACTATTAAAAATCCACCATTTGTCTGATTTTTAGCTTGACCTGCCAATCTGACACTGCTATGTAAACATAGTAGCTAACTGCTAATTTGCGCTAATAGACACATCGCCGATGTATTTTACTGAAGGAAGAAGACACAACGTTAGGCATTTGAATTGGAACTGACAAGTCGGAGCTTTACAAAAGTTTGTCCAGTGATCGGAGCATCTTTAGAATACACACCTTCCAGCCTTTTAGCCAGGGAGCGGGTGAAGAGGATGTTTGCGAGTTTGCTCTGAGCGTAAGCTTTGTTCTTATTGTAACTCTTCTCACTGTTGATGTCCTCCAGATTGATGGACCCCCAGGAGTGAGCCATGGAAGACACGCTGATTATCCGGGCCGGGGCGGATCTTCTGATCAGGTCGATCAACAAATACGTCAACAGAAAATGACCTGGAAAAGAGAAGGTGGAAGTTCAGCTTTGGTGTTTCAAATGAATGTTTGAGAAATAATGTAACCAAAAACGCCTGTTTTTTTTTTTTTTATTTGTGTAAATTTAATTTAAAATGTCAAAAATTGCTATATTACCAGCTAGTCGAAGACTTTAGCTACTTTTATGTCACTGAACTTGCATGAAGCCTTTTTTATGATCAGAAGGGGGACAAATGAAGTTTTAATTTTTACTTAGCAGTTTTTTTTTCTGACCAGGTAAATTATGCAAAACTAAAACAATAATCTTAAATAATCACAAGTTATTTTATTTAAAAATCACCAGGGCTCATTATGAAATCAAACTTTAAACATTATCCAACAGTTAAATCTTATTTGATCAAAACAAAACAAAACAAAACAAAAAGATAATCCTTCTGATCAGCTGTGAAATAGACTAAACACCCAATTTAATCTGTATAGATTTGGAGATTAAAGCTAAAAAAAAAATAAGTTAGAAAACAGACAGAAAAACATTTATTTAAAGCAGTATTCTAGAAATCTGGCATGAAAAACTTTCTATGGTTTAATGATAAACTGCTCTTCTTATCGAACCAAAGGAGTCTTTGCCCTGTCAGCGATTAAGCTAGAATAATAAACATCAATCAGTATGTAAGCATAAAAAGGACTATTAATAATTAATCCTCACAAAGATACAGCAAGTAAACTGCAGTAACTTGAACTGAGCTAAAGAAAATGGGCGCTGCTGTCCAGATGTAGAACGAACAGAATGAAAAACTCATTCATCCCTGTAGCTATCAGGCTTCTCAACGAACAGTGATGATGATTTCTGGACTGTTATTTTAATGTCTTAATGTCTATGGATGTTTTGTTTGCCTACTGACTGAAACAAATTGCCCCTTGTGGATAACAACAATTCTTGACTTGAATCAACCATTTAAAATTAAAATTAGCCTATAAAGTTGATGTAATCACTGTTAATTATTGAATTGGACAGTAGATATTAGCTTTTGTGGCCAATATACAGAGTGTAGCACCAGGCTGATTCTATAATTTAGCACACATTATTAAACAGTACAATCAGCTATTGTCTCCAATGTATGTAATATTTACACAGTGTAAAATAATATATTTGATTATATTTAATTTTTCATTACACAAACCTGACCCATTGAGAAGATGATTAGCTAATATCAGAAGAGAGACGTTTCATCCTTCAAAGTATCATCGGGTATGCAGTGAACATTTCCTAAGTGTTGACTACAGAACAGGTAAATAATAAAAAATATACATTATTCCAATACCGTTACGCAATACGCTTTATATGTAATTTCTGAGTTGTATGTGTTATTGTCTGACTTCCGATCTAGTTTAGATCATTATAAACAATATATTTTCCTTATATGTCGTCTAGCTGTTTTACATGATTGTTGAATGAAATTAACAATAATGATCAATTATATTCATTTACTGTAAAAAAATATTACAAACAACTTGTGACAGTTGCTTTGTGAGCTGTTGCCTTCTTTGCAGTGGACGGGATGGCAACAAATGTCCAGTGCGCCTCCTAGTGGATCGTATATGTAACTGAGAGCTGACACACATGGCAAAACTCAATATTGGTCGGAGTTCCCTTTCTTGTAAACAATTTAGGTGTAAAATAAGAAAAAGAGCTGAAAATCACAACATTTCAAACCTCAAAGACAGCACAGCTTGATTGTATTTACCCATGTGATTAACACCAATCTGCATCTCGAAGCCATCGGCTGTTTTCCCGTACGGACAAACCATAACACCAGCATTGTTGATGAGGAGGTTGAGTTTAGGCTCATCTGCAGGAAAAAAAACAATAATAAATTTAAAACCCTCATAGTTTTTAGGTATCTTTTCAAAAACTGTTAACTAGGAAGCAAATTATTGTACTTGTGTTGATGGTTTCTGCAAACTCTCTGATAGACTTGCTGTCTGACAAATCAAGTTTCATGCAAACAACGTTGTCATTGCCGGAGCTTTCGATGATTTCTTTCACTGCCGCCTGCGCTTTCTCCATGTCCCGGCACGCTAGGATGACTTTAGCCCCTAAACACGGCGAGAGAGAAAAAACTGGAGTCTCAAAACAAGATTTTGTGTAAGCAGAAAGAGCAGTGTGCCACAAAAGGAACACAGCGCCATTTTCTGACAAGAACTGAAAACGACACAAAATAGAAATATATCATTCAATATACAAAGTATTGTAAAATTAGGTTGAATATTGCCACTAGCATTAGAGCTTTTATATATTCTGCAGCACTTTGCCACATGAAGCCCATAAAATTGTAACTTATTCCAATCTTTTTAAATTTTTATTAAAAACACAAAGCCAAGCATAGAAGAAATGTATAAAAATCAGTACACTGGCTCCCGGTTCACTTCTGAATTCATTTAAAAATTCTTCTGCATGTTTTTAAATCTCCGAACAGTTCCCTTCTTGTCTCAGTGATCTGCTGCAGCCATATGTCCCACAGCGCTCTCTGAGGTCAGCAGACCAGATACTTTTACTGGTTCCATACACTCGTTGTAAGCTCAGAGGTGACAGGGCTTTCTCTGTTGCAGGTCCAAAACTGTGGAATGACTTACCACTACATGTCTCTCACTGTTTTAAAGTCTCATTTAAAAACACGCTTTTGTTCCCTGGCTTTCGATCCAGTGTGAGTTGATTTTAACTTCACTGTGTTCTCTCCACTGGCTTCCTGTCCACTTCCGAATTGATTTTAAGATTTTATTGCTTGTTTTTAAAGTCTTAAAAAGTCTGGCCCCGTCATATTTATGTGATCTCATTAACATCTACATTCCAGTAAGAGCACTCCAGTCTACAAACCAGTTCCTCTTAGATGTCCCCAGAACCAAACTTAAATCCAGAGGTGATCGGGCTTTTGCGGTTGCTGCTCCAAAACTGTGGAACAGTTTACCTGAGAATTTAAAGAGCGCTCAGACTGTTGAGACTTTTAAATCTTTGCTCAAGACTCATCTGTATTCCTTAGCATTTCATCCACGCAGAGTCTGAGAACAAGTTGAGCTGATTTTATTGTTGTTATGTGTTGTTTTTTATTGTCAACTTATGTTTTTGAGTGGCACTAGATGCATTTTTACTCTTTTTTAAATTTTTTAATCTGTCTTAACTGTAAAGCACTTTGGTCAGCTTTTGTTGTTTTTATGTGCTATATAAATAAATTGACACTGACATTGTGTTTTTATTATTTTAGTCATTTAGTTTAAATTATCTTTACCTCTGTGAATTTTATGCATTTCATCCTGTGTCCTTTGTGTTGTTGTACAGCACTTTGGTTGCTGCTGTTTTTAAGAGCTTTATAAATAAAGTGGTATGGTATAAAAATCACTTATATTGTTTTTTCTGGGACAGAAACAAAGCCAAGTATTTAAAAGTATGCAAAACAACATATATTTACAAACAAACAAACAAACAAACAAACAGCAGTAGTTTCAGTGAGGTGTACCTCTCTTTGACAGGTCTATAGCTGTCTCTTTACCGATCCCCGTGTTGGCTCCTGTAATCACCGCAGTTTTCTCACAGAGTTTTACATCAGAGGACCAAGGAGCCCGGAAGAGATTTCTGTGAAAAATTGAGAAATCTCAGATGACTCAATCCAGCACATGATGGGTGTAAAATTATTTTAAAATAAATAAAATAAAACAAGTTAAAACAAGACACGACACTTTGTATATTGACTTGCCCGCGATGAGAAAAACTTTAACCAAGGCGATTTTAATTTTTAAATTTCTAGCGATTAAATTGGCTAAAAGTCCCTGAATTATAACAAATATCGCACTTCCCATTACCTTAAAGACTGCATTTTCCTTTAACGCTGCTGGCAGCTCGACTGTGATAAATCGTTGAAACCTGAAAAACTCGAGAAACTCAGATTAACAGCGTTGATAACAGAGGAGGGACGGTGTCGAGCTTTGACCGTGGGCTAATATTTTCATTCCAAGCGTGACAACATACTGGAAAGAGGCAAAGCGGAAGTGTTATGAACGAGTTTTCGCGAATGCCACATACGTAATCGGTTGTGAACGACGCTGATTGGTTCAAATGGGAGTGTCCCGCCTTTGTGTTTGGTGCGCTCGCTTTTTAATCCGGGTTACACTGGCGGAAAAGAGTTCCTACTTGCCACTGAATAAAATAAAATAAAATAAAATAAACACTTTATTGAATAAATAAACAAAAAGTAGTTTTTTTTAAATACATAGGTTACAATAAATAATGCATACTGTACATACAAAAAAAATTCTAAACATATTTTCATTCTAAAACATGTAAATAACTTATATGCATTGTGATGCAAGTAAACATTACAAAGCAAATAAAAATGGTAATATTCTGAAACTTTACAAGTGGAAATCAATTTTAAAAAGTTCAGACTTTTACTTTAAAAAATTAAAAGTAGTTTCTACATAATGTACTCATTCATGTAGTTAACTCAAACAAAGGTAGGCTACAAAGGTACAAAGTTCTTTATTTGCCATTTGTGCACAGACCAACTATCTAGGCACATTGGATTGTTGTGCAGAGCTCTCTCAATCAGTAAAAAAACCACTGAAACAACACTAAATAAATCAGCACTAAATAAATCAAATAAAAGTAAGAGAACAGTGGCTTATATCTACATTGTACAGAAAGTAGATAATATCTACACTTTCCCAAAACGCATATATGATTTCCTGATGCATTCTCAATAAACCAGGTAGAAAAATCCAAAAAAGTTCAATCTGGTCCTCTGGACATTCAAAATTACATTACATTACATATATGATTTATCAGTTATGGTCTCAGTAGAAGAGTTAATACAAATAAGTTGTTTTCAGGGAAGATAAACAAGGAGAAACAACATAAATGGGTGATTAAGCACAAGAACAGAACTGACAGTCAGTGGCAACAGGTTTATGAAGTAATTACTTCAAATAATCATATCATAAATCCATCCATCCATCCATCCATCCATCCATCCATCCATCCATCCATCCATC